TTTCTAAGAATCTGACCATTGCTTTATCTGGTTCAGGATGGTCATCTTCAATCTGATATTCTTAAATGCAGGATTTCAATTTCCACAAAAGTCCAGTACAAGAAAACAATTTTAATGGACGTTTCATCAATTTTGGTAGCACCAGGTTGGCAAAAATTGGGCTGTGTTAATGGATTTCCAATTGCAACTTGGTGTACTGGGATGCTGAGGAGTGGACAGAGGAGGCACATTACCTACAACTACTCCCTTACGCAGAGTCTGAAATCTCATGATGTTCTAAGCCAGGGTTTTTCAAACTTTGGTTCACAAAATCTTGCTATTTTGTAAGAACTTGATTCAGAATTCTATGAAAGGCTAAGGAAAAAAAATCGTTCAAACACAACCGATTTTTTTTAGCACTAAGCTTTACCTCTTGGCCGGGGATTATGGGGATTTGATTTTTAACCAGCAGTTTCCTTGGCCTGAAAGTTTGTGAAAATCCCTGCTCTAAGCTAACTTTCTATAGAAGCCATTGCCAGTCGTTAATCAGTCAACCATTGGCAAGCTTAGTCCTCCATCCTTTTCTCAGCAACCATTCCTCTCTTCCCCTCTGGTCCCAATTCTCAGTGTAGTTCAAAGGCCAAATTGTAAGTAAGGAGTAGGAACCACTGTTGCTTCCTGGTTATTGGTCCTGTTTGAGAAAGAAGATACTGGTAGCAATGGGAAATGGATTGAACCAGGAGCTGTCGTGGCACAGTGGTTAGAATGCAGTATTGCAGGCTAACTCTGCACACTGCCAGGAGTTTGATTTACACCAGCTCAGGGTTGACTCAGGATTTCATCCTTTGGTAAAATGAGGACCCAGATTGTTGGGGGCAATATGCTGACTCTGAAAACTGCTTAGAGAGGGCTGTGAAGCACTGTGAAGCGGTATATAAGTCTAAGTGCTATTGCTACTGCTATTGGGCCTTCTTACCACAGCTTCCTGCTGAGCCCAGTCTCCAAGCAATAATTGACCTTCTTGCTTACTGTATAGTTGCACAATCTATGGCCCACCACAGAACTCCCCCAAATTTTCCAAATTGTAAAATTCAGTCTAAGAAGGAGAAATTCTTAACAATGTAGAAACCAACCCTATTTACTATAATTACTTTAATTAATAAGCTGACCAACTTTTTTACAATGAAAAGGAGGACACAAATAAATTGAAGAAAAAATATCGTAAATAAAAGAAACATTTTATTCATTGCAACAATAATACAGACAACTTGCATGTGCAAAGTTTGCCAGCCGGGTGTTTTGGCACGCTCAGCAGCAATCCCTATTGGCTTTAGAAAGCCAATAGTGGGAGTAGCACAGCTCATGCAAAAGTTGAAAAAAAACATTAAAAAAAAGGTGCCAGAACGCTGTTCTGAGCGTTCTATGAGAGAAAAAAAAGCCCTGCAGATTAGTCTTCAAATATCAAAAAGAAGGACATGTAGGAGTACACTTTTTGAGGGAGTACAGAACTTACAAAAGGAGGACTGTCCTCCCTAAACGAGGATGGTTGGTCACCTTATAATTAATGAACTAAGTTTCAGTTTAAATTAAATCGCATCAAAGGGAGCTTTAATTCTGATCTCATCTACTTTTTTTGGAATGAAACCCCTAGTCAAAAGCCAAATATGAGTTCCTGTTTCAATAGAATCACAACTTGTTTATACTTTCTGGATTCTGGCTAAGGTGCAAAGGATGGGAAGAATGACAAGACTTACCACATATTTCAAAATTGCATCAATAATACATTTTAAGTTTTTTTGTGCTGAATAAAATTCAATCATTGTAATATATTCGGTTGTTCATACCATTAGACCACTCATTGGCTGCATTCTTCATATATTTAAACAGGTGATAATATGTACCAATGGCTGTGTTTGCACAACATGCTAAGCTGATTAATGCTAACCTGATTAATGCTAACTTTGATTCATTTTTGTCTGGGAAATTAGTTAAGAATGTTGTGGGAACACATCAACTGAGATACTGTTTATCACTTCTGGTTCTGAGTAGGATAATCACAGGACACTTGTTTAATGAATAATTAATATATTACCTGTTTAATGTACAATGATCTGATTTATTATTCCAAGAAAAAGGAAGGACATACATCTAAAAAAAATTGGAAGCACCTCTAACATCAGGAAATTACAGACCTATCAGCCTGACCTCAATACCTCGGAAGATGCTGGAAAAGATAATCAAACAATGAATCAGCGAACACCTACAGGCAAACCAAGTCATTAAAAGCCAACACGGGTTTGTCAAAAACAGATCATGCCAGACAAACCTTATTGCATTCTTTGACAAGTGACAAAATTAGTGGACCAGAGGAATGCTGTGGATATAATTTACTTGGACTTCAGTAAGGCATTTAACAAAGTAGATCACCACCTACTACTAGATAAGATAGAAAAGTGTGGATTAGACAGCATCACCACCAGATGGACCCATAGCTGGCTGACCGGCCGTACTCAGCATGTGGTCCTCAATGGAACCACATCTACATGGAGGGAAGTGTGTAGTGGGGTGCCTCAGGGTTCTGTTCTGGGCCCAGTGCTCTTCAACATCTTCATCAATGATTTGGACGAGGGGATAGATGGGGAACTCATCAAATTTGCAGATGACACCAAACTGGCAGGAATAGCCAACACTCCAGAAGACAGGCTTAGGATACAGGAGGATCTGGACAGACTAGAACACTGGGCACTATCTAATAAAATGAAATTCAATGGTGAAAAAAGTAAGGTTCTACATTTAGGCAAGAAAAAACAAATGTATAGGTATAGTATAGGGGGTACGTTGCTCAATAGTAGTAACTGTGAGAGGGATCTCGGAGTCCTAGTGGACAATCATTTAAATATGAGCCAGCAGTGTGCTGCAGCTGCCAAAAAAGCCAACACAGTGCTAGGCTGCATTAAGAGAGGGATAGAATCAAGATCACGCGAAGTATTAATACCAATATACATTGCCTTGGTAAGGCCACTCTTGGAATACTGCATCCAGTTTTGTTCACCACAATGTAAAAAAGATGTTGAGACTCTAGAAAGAGTACAGAGAAAAGCAACAAAGATGATTAGGGGACTGGAGGTTAAAATATATAGGGAAAGTTTTATGGAATTGGGTATGTTTAGTTTAATGAAGAGAAGGACTAGGGGTGACATGATAGCAGTGTTCCAATATCTCAGGAGCTGCCACAAAGAAGAGGGAGTCAGGCTATTTTCCAAAGCGCCTGAAGGCAGGACAAGAAGCAATGGATGGAAACTAATCAAGGAGAGAAGCAACCTAGAACTAAGGAGAAACTTCCTGACAGTTAGAACAATTAACCAGTGGAACAACCTGCCTCCAGAAGGAGAGAAGCAACCTAGAACTAAAGAGAAACTTCCTGACAGTTAGAACAATTAACCAGTGGAAGAACCTGCCTCCAGAAGTGGTGAATGCTCCAACACTGGAAGTTTTTAAGAAGAAACTGGACAGCCATTTGTCCGAAATGATATAGGGTTTCCTGCCTGAGCAGGGGATTGGACTTGATGACTTCCAAGGTTCCTTCCAACTTTATTATTATTACTATTACTATTATTACTATTATTACTATTACTATTATTATTATTATTATTATTATTATTATTATTATTACTTCTGCTGTGTCTCTCAGTAAAATGAGGTGGTAGCCCCATATGCAAACTGTGGCTATCTTGTGTGCAGCTCAATTACATTACCTTATGCTACCTGGTGCTGGTCCAGTGCTGCATAACCTTAAATCTTCTCATTGGAAACACCAAAAGTGGAGCCAAAGATTCAGAACCAAGGGCAAATAAAATTAAAATGTGTTTTCCAAACACATCTTGCCAGGTAACAAGGTTGACCTAAGCCTGAAGAGACTTTACAGCCAGAGTGGGATAGGATTAAGGACACTTGGATAGGAAACTACCAGCAGGTAGTCTAGATTACCAAAAATACCACGCCAGAGGAAACCCTTCCTTAGAATTTCCCAGAACAACTGCAAGGATGTGTCTCTGTAGTCACTAGGAGTCAAATCACCTTGAGTCCTTATTCCCTTTTAATCTATAACAGGTGAAAAATGCACCCTCTGTTTTTTAGCATTTGTGGTATAAAAGCCTCAGCAGGCATCAACCTCAGTTTGGAGGAGGCTTTGGCTCCACTTTCAATGGAAGAGAACAGGCTCACCCAAAAAACTTCCTGTGGGGCTAGGAGTGCAGACCCAGTCTAAGAAAGCCCAAGGCCAGTTTTGTACAATTTAACTAATCTGTTCATCAGCCAGATGGGAATGGATCCATATGTTCCAGGAATTGAAAAGAAAACAACACAAGCAATGGGTGAGTTAACTCAAGATGGGGAAACTTTTGCCAATTTAAAGCGGCATATCTGCCATTACAAACGGAAGGGAAGAGATGGTTCACACCAAGCCACCCCCAGCATCTCAGAGCTTCGTGGCCAGGTTCTTTATCACTGCAGTTGGAAGACAGTTGAATGTCTTTCTAATCACAGAGGGTGGGGAAGCCTTTGCTGGTGCAGATAAGGAACCAGGACCCTTTGACGTCCCTTCTAAGCTTGCATGTGGGTGTGCAAGATGCAGGGAGACTGTGGGCCTAATAGATGCAAACTTAGCCAGATAGTCGGGAACACTGTTTTTGTGGTTAGTTGCAGAGCATCTCTGCATTTTCATATCTGCTTTGGGATTCATTCTGTTACTTTGGGGAAGCTCATCAACCGAACCAGCTTTGTGTTTACCTCAGTAGCTTTGATGGAGAAAAGCTTTTTGTGGTTAAAGCTTAGAAGTGACAAAATGGTTGCCTGAGAATATATGATCAGGCCTCCTAGGTTTCTACTTGGTTCCTGAGAAAGGGGGAGAAAAATACCCAGACTTGAAAGAACTTGCAAGATGATTTTTGAAACTAGATGCATCCAGGTATGGCTCCTTGCATCTTTCAAGGTGACTTTTTTTTGTTTTTGTTTTTCTCCAGTGCCTTAAAAAAATCCTCAAGAAGCATGAGGAGGAGAAGATTCAGTGGGCTTCTTTGGGGTTTTGTGTCTCTCTGACTCTGTCCAAGGGCAGTTTCAAGGTATGTCACATCTTTTAGGCTTTGCCACCTGATAGTGTGGAGGAAAGTCAGGAGTAATGACTGAGAAACGACTATCTGAGGAACCGTCCCACTCCAATGGGACTGGCCCGCCCCATTTGTGCCAGCAGAAGGGGCATGCTGCAGGCCCCATCAGTCAAGGAATTTTGGCTGGTGGGGTCCAGGAGAAGAGCCTTTTATGCCAGGGCACTTGTCCTTCAGAACAACTTACCCCTGAGGTGAGATCTGCTCCCAGCCTTCTGGCCTCCTGTGAGTGCCAGGGACCTGGCTCTGCCAGCTGGCCTGAGGCTCCAGGCCAGCTGTATTATGCTGGAGGTGGTTGACGGATTAAGAAGTGATTCCATCTCCCACCCTGTGCATCCCACTCTCTTCCTCCCCATCTTTTTAATTAGAAATAATTATTTTTCATGGTTTTATTGGCTTTTAATATTGTAAGCCGCCCAGTGTTGGGCAGCACTGTCTTAGGAAGGGCAAAGGGGATCAGAGTGACATATTGTAAACAATGTCAGGGGATTGTAATGCATCAGGGAATTGTGATGCAAGCATTTGTTATGATTTGTCTTTTGCCTGCCCTAAAGAGGTGGAGCTTGTGCCATAATGCTGTTTTCTTCATACTTACAAAAACAGCAGCGAACTTATGAAGTCAGAATATTTCATATCAATGTAGTTTCATGCCAGCTCGAGGATGGATGGATAATTTTATATCTCAGAAGTGGGAAAAGATCCATTGTACTGTCCTCACTTTGGGGTTGCAGGTATGTGCCAAAGGAGTTTCCAGGTTTAAGGAACACTGCCAAGCCACGGAAATTGGCTGGAGGTATCCAATATAATGCCAATCCGAACCATAATGTATTTAGCACTGTTTCAAAATCCCATATAATAGTAACAGCAACAGAAGCAAAGCAAAGTCTGCGTTCATATTTTTGACAGGTATTAAGTTTTATTTTTGACAGGTATTAAGTTTTACAACTGCCATGCGTCTCTAAGAACAGGACATTTTGCAATATTCAAGTTTACTTAGGGGAGCGAATAGACTCAACATGGCACATTTAGATAACACAAAGTGACATTTATGATGATGTTAAACAGCAAGTATGACATCCATAACTCTGAATGGGCATTCTCCTGACACCAGTATTAGAATAAATGCATTAGCAGAAAGTCAAAAAGTCCTAATTTCTACTTCACCTTCTCTGCAAAGTTCTGTCTTAATTTGCTTTGATGCCATAAGTAATGAATTGAGTGTTACACAAAGTTTACAGCACAGTTCTATGTAGACTTAGGTTCCGCTGCCTTCAGTTGATTTAACTTCCAGTAATTGTCTGGCACAATCTTATAGCAAGACACAAAAGAAAGGGGGAAAAAAAAACCCTGCCTCATGTAAAGGCATGTTTTGTTCTTTAGAACAAACAGACAATTTTTAAAAGGCAGTGGAATAATACTGTTTCTAAAAACAAAATTCCAAGACCACTTCAGTTGTTCCTCAGCTTCCTCTACAATTTTAGTAACTATTGTGGGAAAGCATGAGGGAGCCAGCTACATATGAGGGCAAACTTATTTTTTTTAAAACAAAAAGGGAAAGAATGTTAATTTACCAATAAAGGAGAAGGAGCCCTCAATGTTAATTTACTTGTTTAAAAATCAGTTTGATTACTTAGAATATAATTAGAGCATCCTTGGGAGGCACAGCTCTATGGGATTAAAAATAGAAAATCAGGGTATCAGTCTGTCATGGTGGGCACAGTGTGGGGAAAGGCATGTTAGAGGTCTCCTTATGCCATCTGTTTTAGCACTGAATAGACCCCTAGCCAAGGAGAGCCAACTGGCATTTTTCAGACAGTTTGAACTATAATTCCCATGAGCCTTAGCTAACAAAGCCAGTGACAAAGTGTTCTGGGAGTTGTAGTTCAAAGCATCTGGTGCCCAGCCAGTCACCTACCTTGAAAACATTGCACAATGGTGAGAGGAAATCCAGAGTTACCTTTGTCTGCCACAGCATTCATCAAAACTTGGCTGCTCCTCGACTTGCTGACCGGTTTGGCAACATTTTGCCCAGGACTGAAAGAAGAAGCAATGTTCCGAGACTGTACACTGTTTGGGTTGTTTCTTCATTTAAATCAAAATTATCCATTCTGCCTATGGAAGGCTCCCTCAGTATATGAAGCAGAGCTTAGTTGCTCATGTCATCTCCAACCTTTTGCAGTTAGCAATGTGAGGAATGGAACACAAGACCTTTTGTTAGTGAAGCTGGAGGGCTCTCTCTAAATTTTATTATATTTATTTAGATACAGGGCTTATATGGCCACCTATCTTATACAGTGATTCTAGGTAGCTCACAACCATCCATAAAATATAGTTTAAAACTTTCCCTTAGGCGCCAGACCAAACATCCTTTCAGCTCAACCCCCCATCCTAGTCCCTGCTTGGAGTAAAAATTGGGCCTTCATAACCCTCTGGAAAGCTAAAAGGATAGGGGTCCTTCTGATCTCTGTGGAAGGCTGTTCCAAATTATGGAATTGACACCCCCCACACACACACAATCACTCAAACCACCACAGTTAGAATGATAATGCTAGATGGGTGACATTGGAATTTTTCTCTGGGATTTGGTGGGAGCTGGAAGTTTTCTTTGCTTTTCTGAAACTATATAAAGTTATTTTAGGATTAATGTTACCATTTTCTATCTCAAAATGTTTCCCATCTCAAATTGTCAGGAAAAATACCATCAATTTTCGCCAACTGTGATCAGATCAAAAGTAGTCTCCGGCCAGCCAAGGCTGAACCTGCTCTGGACTTTCTACTTCTACTTCCCTATTCTTCGCTTCCTGGGAAACTTGTCAGAACGGCATGCAAGAGGAAGATCAGCACTGCACTGGAGAAGCATATGTCGCAGTACAGATAGTCCTCAACTTACAACAGTTCATTTAGTGACCATTCATAGTTACAACGGCACTGTAAAAAGTGACTTACAATCATTTTTCACATTTACCACCGTTGCAACATCCCCATGATCACGTGAGCAAAATTCAGACGCTTAGTAACTTACTCATATTTATGTTGGTTGCGGTGTCCTGGGCTCATGTGATCACTTTTTTTACTTTCTGACAAGCAATGTCAATGGGGAAACCAGATTCACTTAACAGCCACATTACTAATTTAACCACTGCAGTGACTCACTTAACAACGGTGTCAAGAAAGGTCATAAAATGGGGCAAAATTCACTCAACGATGTCTTGCTTTGCAACAAAAGTTTTGGGTCATATGTCAAGGACTACCTGTACTGGGCTGAATTAGGCTAACCGCATCTGGGGTGAAAAACCCTGGGCCAATAGAGAGAGCTAAGAGTTACAGCCTACATGTCATTATTTCTCCAACTTGGCAACTTTAAGAAGTAGAAAATGTTTGTAGATCAGGTTTTAGATTTTGGCTGTGGTTTGTTCTCCAAGCTTGTTTTAATATCATTCCTGAACGTTTCTTTACCAAACTAGGTAACATCAGCAGCAGGATTTTCTTGTCCTATTCTCCTTAGCTCATAAGAGTCTTGTGTGCCAGTGCAATCAGTTGATTGTGCAGTTGGTTGTCTGTTTGGAGCTATATTTGAATTCTGAGCAGCTAATTGGTTCTCTTGTTGATTGGCACTTGATTTAGATCCAACGTATCAATATCTAAGAAACTAGACCGGGGTAGGCAACCTTGGCTCTTTTATGACTTGAGGAGTTCAACTCCCAGAATTCCTGAGCCTGAGTTGAAGTCCTCAAGTCATAAAAGAGCCAAGGTTGCTTACCCCTGAACTAGACCATTCAAAGTGGCAATCAACAAGAGAACCAATCAGCTGCTCAGAATTCAAATATAGCTCCAAACAATTGACCACACTGGCACACAAGATGTTTATGAGCTAAGGAGAATAGGACAAGGAAATCCTGATGATGATGTTACTTAGTTTGGTAAAGAAACGTTCAGGAATGATATTAAAACAAGCTTGGAGAACAAACCACAGCCAAAATCTAAAAGCCGAGCTACAAACATCTCCCATTATTTCAAAGTTATATGGGCGTAAACTTATTGAGGCCTGATATTCCATCAAAGGAGCAGTTAACAAACATATTGATTTAGATCCAACATACCAATATGTAAGAAACCAGACCATTCGAAGTGGCGATCAACAAGAGAACCAATCAGCTGCTCAGAATTCAAATATAGCTCCAAGCAACTGACCACACTGGCACACAAGACACTTATGAGCTAAAGAGAATAGGACAAGGAAATCCTGCTGCTGATGTTACCTAGTTTTGTAAAGAAATGTTCAGGAATGATATTGAAACAAGCTTGGAGAACAAACCACAGTCAAAAACTTTAAGAAGTGTGGGCCATCATCTCCCAGCATTCGGTATGTGTATCTATGTCACCATCTTGTGGTCATCCAGAGTTTTGCAAGAACTGGTGGTGATCAATGGGTCTGCAAATTCAATAGTGTCAGGAGCACGAATTTAGTGGTAGTAAAAACAAAGTGCCACAAAGCAAAATTAGCAGCAGGAACTAAATCAAGTAGGAATGGCTTAGAATAACTCCTCTCCTCACCTTTGGGGGCCATCCATTACTTTAGGCCAGGGGTAGGCAACCGTGGCTCTTTTATGACTCGTGGACTTCAACTCCCAGAATTCCTGGAGCCAAGGTTTCCTACCCCTGCTTTAGGCCAAAGTCTGTTTGATACACAATGATTTAAGTTAACCATCACATAACATGATTAGCACTCTCAAGCACTGACACGTAGTTCAGAATAAATATCATGGGACTTCCATCACGTTTGTCTTTGCAAGCTGCTAGCGACTACTATCCCCTCCGCCTCCCATCTCTTGTTCCAGGAGTATACAGAAATCTGCCATCACCTCAGCCAGAACATTTGCAATGGAGTAGTTGCTGTTCTCTGAATTGATTATTTGTTTGCCGGTTTCATTACCCAACTAGGTAACATCATCAGTGTGAGTAGGTGTGGGGTTTTCTCCCTGTTTATATACAATAGCTTCCCCTGTCAATTTGGGTGGGAGTGTGGTTTCCAGCACTGTGGTTCCTTGATTAGACATTAGAGTATTGTTTTCTGCCTAATTGTTTTTCTGGTCTAATCCTTGTTTATCTGAGCATGAGCTGCTGGAGAAGATGTGTTCTAGTCTTTTTTGTGTCCTTCCTAGGTTTTTTATTGTCTCCTTTGAATGGTATGTAATGTGCTTATTTCTATATGCCTACTGTTGGCTGATTTGACTAAATGCCAAACTTCCAGAAATTCTCTCACATTCTTGGATTTGGTTTGGGATCTGGATGCTAACAGAGAGGCAGTTTGGTGTACTTGTTAAGGACCAGGCTAGAAACTGGGAGAGACTAAGTTCTAGATTTATCTTAGGCACAAAGCCTGGTCTGGTGGGTGATCTGGAGCCGACAATTATCTCTCAGCCTGAGGAAGCAGGCAATGGCAAACTACTTCTGAAATCTTTCCAAGAAAACTGCAGGGACTAGTCAAGGTAGTCACCAGGAGACAACAATGCCTTGAAGACACACAGACAACGTACACAATACTAACAGTATCCCAGCTGAAGCTGTGGTTGAGTCTATCCATATGTTGTGAGATTAAGAATTTTTTTTTTTTTTTTTGTCTTCTGACTTCAGTTTTCAGCCTGCCTATCCTACATAGTGGCTGTTACAATCCTTAGCTGATATGTTACAGTTTTTTCCCCCTTCTTGGGCTACTGAGTTTTCTGGTTTGCTTAAAATATTTTGGAGGGCTGGTTTGTGACGTAGCAGGTTGGATGGTCAGGCACTTTTTGATAAAGTTGGGTGGGTATCTACAGGTAATCCTCGGCTTACAACAATTCATTTAGTGACCATTCAAAGTTACACTGGGACTGAAAACTGTGACTAATGACCATTTTTCTACTTATAAGCATTGTTGCATCTTCATGATCATGGGATCAAAATTCAACTGACTCATATTTATGACAGTTGCAGTGTCCCAGGATCATGTGATAACCATTTACAACCTTCTGACAAGCAAAAATAAATAGGGGAAGCCAGATTCACTCAACAGCTGTGATTCACTTAATAACTGGCAAGAAAACTCATAAAATGGGGCAACACTCACTTAACAAATATCTCACTTAATAGCAGAAATGTTGGGCTCTATTGTGATCGTAAGACAAGGACTACCTCTATATTTCATTGGACGATGTTGCATAGGTGTTTTTCTCCCCTTTTTCTGCTGTTCTGGGTTGCCGCTGTGCACTTGTACTCATCTGAATAGTTCTTACACCCTCTTCTTATGGGAGGTTGGGTTGCTATTTTGCTAGCAGAACACTTGGTTGGTGTGAGTTGTTTTTCAATAGACTTGGGTTTTTAATTTGCTGTTGTTTCTTTTGCTGATGAGGATGTCCAGGAAAGGCACGGTGTTGTTGTTTTCTTCTTCCCTTGTGAATTTGTATTCCTTTGAAGAAGTTGTTGATTGTCTCATTTGCTTTCTATTTCAATCCTTCTTACAGAGATGGAGAGTTTCGGGAGGTTTTTTTTTTTTTATCCAATTCTCCTGGAAACGCCAGAGCGCCAAACAGGACTTCCTGTATGCCAAGGATATCCTGCTCCCCAGCTCTCGACATCCTTAGCTTCTCTTGAGAGCAAAACAAGAACCCCTATTCAATTGCTCATATTCAGAAGAGCAGGGGAGTCAATATGCAATGTGCAGCTCCACTAATTTATTAAACCTTTATTTCCTTCTCTCTCTCCCTCTCCCCTGCTGTTGTCCACAGGCCCTCAAGCATACCTTGAAATATAAGGATTAAAAACTCAGGAACAGCATGAAGAAAAAAAAAAAAACCTCCCAAAGAGCTGAAAAGGAGTGCTGGATCATTTCCCTCCTTGCACAGATGGTGGCAGATGTCTCCATCCAACTTTCAATTGTTTTGCTGTTCAAACTGTCTCAACCTCATTAGAGGCATAAACCCTTTAGCTGTTTCAGCTGGCTAAAATTGGGACTGGGACTTCTGGATGTCATGGTCTCATCTTTCTTGCACCCGTCTAAGTATGGGAACTATGAGAAGGAAAATGGATTCAGGAATGGAAGGACGCTATATGTTTGTCAAAAACCACAAGTCCTTCCTATTCCCAACTCCATATCATCTGATTTGATATATCTTGTTTAATTGTTCAGAATATTTAAAAAGAGCAATTTGACTCTGCTGCACCATAAGATATAACAAGTAGCGTGAGATTCCAGCAGTTTTCTCAGAAAAAAAACTCCAACACTCTTAAAATATATTTGGTTAAAAATAAGACAGCTCTGCACAAAGCTATTTTAACAAGATCACTTCTCCCACTTCCTATTTTCTAAATTAGCTGTTCCCACTTCCCATTTTCTAAATTTCTAATTCAAGTACACAAGTGCAAAAATGGACAGGATGCCTGCACTTTTCACAATTGTGCTGAGGAGGCTAGCTGAGCAGGTGTGGCTTGCGTGGCAAGCTAGACCAGCACTTTTTCAAACTGACTAGGAAAAATGCAGGCGCTTTGGAGCTTGACTGCCATCAGGCACCAGACTCAGATCAACTGCCAATATCCTAAATCCTAGCTTTAGAAGTTTAGAACCAAGGGCCTTATCTCAAATACAAAAATCTTTTGCAAATGGTTGACTTCAGATTATGGGAATTAGAGCTTAACTCATCTAAGAGCAGGAGGTGGAAAAGCTGGTTGAGAAAAAGACTTCTGTTGATTTGAAAAAAGCCAGTTTGGTATAGTGGTTAAGACAGTAGGCAGCACAGACCATGAATTCTAATCCCACCTTATGCACAGAGTCAGTGGAGTGACTTCGAGCCAATCATTCTCTCTGAGCCCTAGGAATGAGGCAATAGCAAAAACTTGCCAAGCAAACTGCAGGGGCTTGTCATCACTGTCAACACTGACTTGAAGGCGAGAAACAGAGGGACAGAGAGACAGAAAGACAGAGAGAGAATTGAGATGGATCAAAACTAGTCATAAGGAGTTGTAGAATAAATTTTTAGACTGCAGATCTATGCACATTTCTCTGGAATTTATCCCAATAAACTTTTAATATACATAAATAATTTAAAATGGCGGTATTAGGATTTAAGCCATTAATAAATGCCACTTCCCATGAATTTAATTCCATTCAGTTTTGTTTTTGTCAAGGGCTTCTGTATCCAAATTTTGAAAAATGTAATGTAAATGTAAACAAAAAATCTCCATAGTATGATAACTAACACGAATAGAGTTGTGTATTGTGTTAGCAATACCATATTAAACCTCAAAAGTAATTTATACTGAATAACATTTCCAGTCACATATGTGTGAAAATTTGAGCAATGCATGCCCTTTTCATTTCACACCCACACACACCCACACACACATCAGCTTTGTTGACATTCCTTCAAAAGTAATACTTTGTAAAGAATTAGGATGGGATGTTTGCTAAACTAATTAATTTCTCTGTGAAATCTACCAACCATTAAGTTTCCCTTCAGGATAGCAATAACCATTTCTAAAGTTATAAGAATGTTTAGGATTTCAAAAGGGGCACTCTGCCCTCTACCGGTACTGGGAAACTACTGAATTGAACCAGATCAATGTTTGAAACATAACACAGTTTGCTTGATTCCTTTTCCCTTGACTCGCATTTCTCAACAAATTGATCCCTCAGAGTCCTCCCATCTGATCCTAAAAGTAATACATGTTCCCACAGGACCAAAGATGTTCGCTAAGACACAGCCTTCCCTGACCTGATGCCCTCCAGATGCATTGGAGTCCAGAAATGCAGTCATGCTGGTCATTAAGTGGATTATCATATGACTCCACTTAATTTTACACCCTTTTTGCAGCAATCAACAAACAATTTTTTTTCGATGGGCATTTTTTGCTGGAAACTTGAAGTAAACATCTTTTTCCATATATATGTGTATATGTGTGTGTGTGTGTGTGTGTGTGTGTATAACACTTGATGGCAGTGAAAATTCCTTTATCTCTTTATTGCCATCTAGTCCAATGTTTAATTGACATAGATAATAGAACCAAGATTGACAGAGGCTTGTTCCTCTAGCATATTTAAATAAGAATGTGCTGTCGGAACACTAAAAAGAATTGACCTAATCAACTAACTATGGGAGTTATATTTAGTCTAAAGAGACCCACTCATGGCTAAACTAAGTTTATTCAGTAATTCCTGCCATAGAACACCTAAGCCCTATCGACTGACTTGTACATACTTGTACTTCCAAGAAAAATAGTTGGCAAACAAAGAATGGCTGATAAAACCAGTTCCTTTTTCTTATAATTTTGCAATGGCTGATTAATTACACCAAACAAGTAACAGTTACTGTTGGCCAACCAGCCAAGAGGGAACGTGCTAGAGTTGTTATTTAGCCTTATACAAATACATTGCTGATACACTGGTTCATATGATACTACAGTATGCACTTCCTGGAGAAAGGAGGATCTTCAAGAAATCCAAAGCAAGTAATTTTTGACTCAATATGTTTCTATGCTATCAGAACCATTGTGACGTTAGGCAGGATATTTGAAGTTATCCAACATGGCAGTACAATACATTTATCATACAAGATGAGCACCCCACAGGCTATTCTTTCATCTTGTTATCTATAGAGGATCCCAGAATACATAAAGGAAATTAGGTTGCAAAATATTGATTGGATGTTTGCACTTTTTGATCTTCCCTGAGTCTTATTATTATTTGCTTCCTAGAAAATTCTGAATTCTCTCAAACATTGTTGAAGACAACACTCCAAATTTTACAAACTTTATATTGCAAATCTAGAAGCAGAGTCCTATGTTTTGTTTACTGAATAGTAGAAAATCAAAACGAGGCATTATTGCCTTCACTGCACACATCTAACAACCTATTTCTTTCTCTCCATTACTTTTTCTTTGGTTAAAATCAACTCTGTTGAGAAAGAGAGAAAAAGAAAAGAAAAAGGAGAAAATTGTGGAACAAAAAAAGGATTCTTTCTTTTATATTGTAGTCATTCTTTGATTTACAGCCGCTTTCATGAGCTCTAGGACATTCCAGGTCAGTTTAAAATTAACATGAAAGGTAATCTTCAACATTCGTTTAGTGACTGTTCAAAGTTACAACAGCACTGAAAAAAAAAATGATTTGCAACCAGACTTCACACTTACAATCATCACAGCATCTCTACAGTCACATGACCAAAATTTGGGGACTTGGCAACTGGCATATATATTCCTGATGATTGCAGCATCTGGGATCATGTGATTGCCATTTGTGAACTTCCCAGCCATCTTTTGACAAGCAAAGTTGGGAGGGGAAGCCAGATTAGCTGAATGACTGCATGTTTCACTTAACAACTGCAATGAACCACCATGGTAAAATAGGTCGCAAAATTGGGGTTGGCTCACTTAACAATCAGTTTGCTTAGAAATGAAAATTCTGGTCCCAATTGTGGACAGATGTAGAGAATTACCTATATGTTTGATCCAGCCCTTGTCATTCTCCCTACCCAGATGCAGAGCTCCAGCCTTTATTAACCAAGAATTCTGCTCAAATTCCAGAAGTGCTAGAAGAGCATTAATGTATGTGTGCATTCAAGAGAAGAAATAATAGTCCTGTGTGCTATTTTTTTTCCTGTGACACAGAACCCTATCAAAGGACACTAGCTCCCCTAAAAGCTCAGCTAACACACCTATTCAAGGATCCACTTCAATGCTCTAGTTTAGATCAAGGAATGTCTGAAGGCTGCAGAAATGAGTTAGGGACTCAGAGAAAGGGTTGACTTACCTTCTCCTAGCTAGCTAGATCTACCTGCTTTGATCAGAGATCTGACTGCCTCTCAGATCTGGAGACAAACAACAGAGGAAAAGCCACCAGTGGCAATACCCTACAGGTCAGGAAACTAGTTCTGATTGCCATCACTAGGTCGCAATAGAAAGGACTGCATACCTATATTAAGCTGTCTGCACATTAGAGAAGGATGTTTTATGTGGATTGGAAGCAGTTTATACAACTTGCTATATTGTTCTTTCTGCTCAGCCAGGTATCATTCCTTCAATAAACAGAATATTTAAAATTGCAGATTGGCTCCTTTCATCTTGGATACAGCCATTGAATTAGCTCTGGTCTTTCAACTTCAAGAACATAACCCAAACAATCTCTGTTGCATGATTTAAAAAGCACTCATAAAATCAGTATTTTGATCATTTTGTGACCCGCTGACCAGAAAGTAGGTTTCTTCTGTCATGGGAACTTTTTGCAATTCTTGGCAGATTTATTTATAAACGTGGAAGCTAACCGCGTGCATAATTATGCACGCTCAAATTTTGACAGTGCCATTTTCTCTCATCCCAAGGATGTGGATTCGAATGCAAAGCACTAATTAGCTGGCTTTTGGTGGCAAAACCCAGTGAACAGTGACCTTAAACCTAAAATATTAAAATAATCACGCATCAGCAATTTTCATGGGGGGGGGGAAGGAACACGGGTACAACGGGAATAGAAATAAATGTCAGATTAAATTACTGCATAGATAGGAAAAGTATAACAGCACATAAGCACACTATAAGTGAACCGTATTTACCGATGTTGGAAAAGAAATGCATTTACGTGTTGATAGGAGGAAGGGGTATCAAGATTTTCCGCCTGAAGTTTTTTATAAAAATAATCGGGGTGGGATTAAAAAAAGAAAAAAGAACAGAGTAATTTTGAGACCAAGCTCTTTTATGAGGAAATGGATGGCTCTTAAAAGAGCCTTTGGGTTTCTCGGTCGCCTTACTGCGCAGCGCAGCCGCCTCACTTGGAGCTGGTGTATTTGGTGACGGCCTTGGTGCCTTCCGACACGGCGTGCTTGGCCAGCTCCCCCGGCAGCAGGAGGCGCACGGCCGTCTGGATCTCCCGCGAGGTGATGGTCGAGCGCTTGTTGTAGTGGGCCAGGCGGGACGCCTCCCCCGCGATGCGCTCGAAGATGTCGTTCACGAACGAGTTCATGATGCTCATGGCCTTGGAGGAGATGCCGGTGTCGGGGTGCACCTGCTTCAGCACCTTGTAAACGTAGATGGAGTAGCTCTCCTTCCTGCTCTTGCGCCGCTTCTTGTCGCCCTTCTTTTGGGTCTTCGTCACCGCCTTCTTCGAGCCCTTCTTAGGCGCGGGGGCGGATTTCGCCGGTTCAGGCATTCTGGAATACAGATCACTGTTCTTCACACGCCAAATAATAAAAACAAGAGGGAAGTCTGAAAAAGGGGAACCGGTCGCGTCCCTTTATTTATAGTCTCTCTATGCAAATGAGAGGATCCAAAGCGCCACGATGTTATTGGCCCAAGGAGCTTTGATATCATCGCTCCTGCGCACGCACATGCAAATGAGAGCCCTGCAAATGCCCGGATTTCTATTGGGTAGAAACTGTACCTGCGCTTCCTACTGGTCGCCTTTAAAGCTTGCATTCTTATTGGTGCTAAAATCCTGGTGACAGGTTTGGCCAATCAGGAATGGTGCTGGCGTACGCGAGGAGGGGATAAAAGGAGTCGGTTGTTCTCTTCCTTTAATTGCTGTTTTATTTTTTCTTCCGTGTTTGAGCTGAGCTGAGTCAGTGTCGCAATGTCTGGACGTGGCAAGCAGGGGGGGAAAGCTAGAGCTAAAGCTAAATCTCGCTCCTCTCGTGCTGGGCTCCAGTTTCCCGTAGGTCGAGTTCACCGCCTTCTTCGCAAAGGAAACTATGCCGAGCGGGTTGGTGCCGGAGCCCCTGTTTACCTTGCTGCAGTGTTGGAATATCTGACAGCTGAAATCCTGGAGCTGGCTGGAAATGCTGCCCGGGATAACAAGAAAACTAGAATAATCCCTCGCCACCTCCAGTTGGCCGTTCGTAACGACGAGGAACTGAACAAGCTACTGGGAGGCGTTACTATTGCCCAGGGAGGAGTGTTGCCCAATATCCAAGCTGTGCTACTACCCAAGAAGACCGAGAGCCACAAGCCCAAAGGCAAATGAACCTATCCCTCTTATCAGTGTAACACACAAAAGGCTCTTTTAAGAGCCACCCACGACATCAAAAAAGAGCTGTTACTTTTGGGTTGTTTATACGATATAGAAAAGCCCAAGTTCAGGTTCCATCACCACTGAGTGCCCAAATTAACTTCCTTAAGCACTTGACAACACTTGCAGCTTTGGTAAAACAGTGATTGCAGCTCTCCATTGAAGCAGTGGGTGGCCCTTAAAAGGGCCTTTTGATTTATTTTGGAAAATTTTAAGTTGAAATAAAATTTAGCCACCAAATCCGTACAGAGTACGGCCTTGGCGCTTCAAAGCATACACCACATCCATAGCAGTCACAGTCTTTCTCTTGGCGTGCTCGGTGTAAGTCACGGCATCGCGGATGACATTTTCAAGGAAGACCTTTAGCACCCCGCGAGTCTCCTCATAAATCAAGCCGGAGATACGCTTCACTCCGCCACGACGAGCCAAACGGCGGATAGCGGGCTTAGTGATGCCTTGGATGTTATCTCGCAAGACTTTCCGGTGGCGCTTTGCGCCTCCTTTTCCCAAACCCTTTCCGCCTTTTCCACGGCCAGACATCTCACCGAACGATAAAACCTGAAGCCCACAAAGTGTTCGCCTTCTACCTCACGTTTATATTGGTTGCTTTCCGACCAAAAGGAAAACTGTCGCGAAGATGGGAGATGACAGCCCAGTTGTCCAATTTGATAGGGCGATGCTACAGGGCCTTGTCCAATAAGACTCGGCCTCATTTTAAAACAGCGAATGACGAATGGTTAACTCAATGCATTTCAAATTGCAAAGGTTATGTTTCAAGTAGTTTCATAATATAGGCTGTAAAATAATATCCAGACTGTCAGCTCACTTTTATGGAAGTACAATATTGCAGGCATTTAGCCTCCTTCATTTAACTAGAAGTGGCTGTTTTGTTTTGAAACATATCTTGTATGTGCAATAAATACATAAGTGATTGAATCAAAAAAACTGTTGGGATTTTTAAAATAATTTTTAATCTTAACAGTTTTGCTTGTGTTGTTTCTCTTCAGAAAAACAGGCGGGAGGGATCTAGAAGCATTTCAATCAAGTAGCTGAGAAGGTAACAAACTGACAAACTATCGATAGGAGCTGCGTGAGGCAGTTTGTTACAAACGAATTGCAAAGCAAATATGTATCTATTGCCATAGCTCGACAGAAACAACTGTTTTTCTTAGATTACTTTGAATTTTAGACAAAAAATAAGCAGTAAAGAATGAAATACAAACGCACACCTTGCAGAGTCTAGTATACAAAACACTAACTTGTATATAGTCAATTTGGAATGCAATTACTTCCGAAGTGAAGGACAGCAACATTTAAGCATCCAATTCAGCACTAGGGATATCCAAAGGGAAAGAATCGACCAGGCTTGGCTTTACACATTATAAAGACAACAATAGGGTTTGTTCATAAGCCTACGGTTCTCCATCGCATACCAGAAAAGGTAGTTCCAGCAGTTGCGCAACTATAAAATTCGCAGCTGCATGAATAATTGCTCCTAATCTCTAGCTTTTCCTTGTTACTGCAGCATTCAGAGATCACCTCCGGCGAAGGCGCGTATGCAAATTGCGGCCCTCGCTGTTTTTTTCCTACTGGAAGAAAAGCAATATTTCTCTAGTCAATTGGTCCTGCTGAGAAACCACATTTGCATTGGCTGAGGTGTGTTGACGTCACAGTCAGCCAATCAGAAGGGCCGCTTTCAAACGGTGAGGCAGGCATAAATAGGCCCCCGCCTTTCTCGTCAATTAGGGGATACTTTTGCGTTCGTGGAGAAAAAGAGCAACTCATTTGAGGAATGTCTGGTCGCGGCAAGCAGGGAGGCAAGGCCAGAGCCAAGGCCAAGTCTCGTTCTTCCCGAGCCGGACTCCAGTTCCCGGTCGGTCGTGTTCACCGCCTCCTGCGGACAGGTAACTACGCCGAGCGGGTGGGCGCCGGCGCTCCCGTCTACTTGGCGGCGGTGCTGGAATATCTCACGGCGGAAATCCTGGAGTTGGCCGGCAACGCTGCTCGGGACAACAAGAAGACCCGTATTATCCCCCGCCATCTGCAGCTGGCCATTCGCAACGACGAAGAGCTCAACAAACTCCTGGGCAAAGTGACGATCGCTCAAGGGGGCGTGTTGCCCAATATCCAGGCGGTCCTCTTGCCCAAGAAGACGGAAAGCCATAAAGGCAAATGACCTGCTGTTGCCCGCCGGGCAAGTGCTTCGGAACTGAACCCAAAGGCTCTTATTAGAGCCACCTACAACCTTTAAGAAAGTGCTGATCGTCTCTTCCTCTCTTCGAAATAACATTTTGTTTGCTCTACCATTCCGAATAATCGTCAAGTCGTCAAACAGCTTGTAATAACGTGGTCCTGTTTTTTAAGGTTTGTGTCTCAGGGCATTGATTTTTATCTGGTCTACAAGTTAGAATCTGTTTCCATCCTAGTCCCTTGTTCCCCAAAGGGGGATTTGTGGGACTGAGAGATTAGAAGGGAACTCCTAACACGAAATTATGCCGACTTGAATCTGGGTGAGTCACCCAGGGGTTTAAGTGTTGTCAGGTAGAACTGACTTTTTAACTACGCAGTTGACCAGACCTGCAAGTAATTTAACTTTTTTTTTTTTTTTTTGAGGGTGGAGAAGGCTCTGCATGTTTCAGTAACTGGAGGCAACATTACCAGCCATTAATATGGCTCGAAGGTCTGGAAATTGTCCAAAATGTGGTAGTAACATGTATGTGCATTGAACAAGATCAGGCATACACAGCCCAAACCAGAAGACATAAAATTATCTTTCAGTTCTACCTGGTATTGGTCTGTTTCCATGGAAATGGTACAGTTCAACACCCCAGCAGGTTTGGAGATTTGGATATTACTGGAGTGGAAAAGAAAAAGTTCCAAAACCAATGAAAGGTTGTTCTCTTCCACCTTCCTCCCCTCCCTCCACATTTAATTGGTCTTCAGAGGGAGGCAAACTGGGTTGGAAAGCACCATAACAACACTCCTGGGAATATACAAGTTACATTGTCCCCAGCTTAAACCTATCTTTGGAGCTGTCTAGTAAATAAAAAGGGGTATTATTGAAGAGGGTTGTGCTGAGGTGGCCTAATGGGATTAAGTCAAATAAACACTATCTTTCACTAGAAAAGGTTTGCCTTCCATCAGGCAATGTGTTTTTCAGAATGAATAAGAAGTAGGTATCACCATACCCAGCCATGGAAAGTTAGAGGGTAACCTGACCTAAAGCCAGTTAGCCCCCCCCTTTTTTAAGGGGAATATTTGTGTGTGGGGGGAAATCAGAGGATGGAGGGGTATGTGCAATATATCTCCCAGTGCCCTGCCCTCTTGGAATTCAGGTCATTGTGACTGTCTCAGTCAGTTCTTGAGGATAGTGAGTTTACATTAGCACATTATACTTTTGTGCACTCTCTTAGATAAGCTTTTAAGTGATGAAAAGTACTTTAGAAAATGGATATGGAAAAAAAATAAGGAAAACAAACTTGCAAAAACCATCTAAGGAGGATCATGTTTGCTTTCAAGGCCATCTATGGTAAATAAAATGCCTTGGTAGGCAACGTAAGTCCAATCAAATTTGGTCTTAATTACTGAGCACCCTCCTGCCCTCCCAAATTTATCAGATGAAAACGCAAGTACTCTTTGTTTAGTGATCACAGTTGGGACCAGCCACTTGGTTGTTAAGAGAAGCAATCTCTAAGTGAACCTACATCTGTTTTGAGGAGTTTCAGCTTTACAGCCCTCGGAAAGTTGCAAATGTGAGGACAGGTCATAGAGTTAATTACTCTCTTGTGAGTTATGATTTTAGGATTAAAGAATTATAGCCAAGAAATGCTATTAAAAACCGAATGAAGGTCTTGCGCTCTCAGATTTGCTCCTTTGTACGCCAAGTTTCTTTCCACTTTTGTGAAATGAATTAGGAGTAATGGATGGTAAGTCAGTTCACTGTGGGTATTACCGGTACTACGATGCAATAGGACAAGACTGAACAAAACAAGGTTGATCCTTCCCATCCCAGAACAGCTTCTGATTAAACTTTGGGAAACTGCAAGCTTGTGAAGTAAAAGGAAGCAAATCATTTCTGACATCAGGAAAATGATATATCAATAGGCTTGAAACATTCCCATTTGCAAATTAATGTTTAGAGTCTGGATTGTAGAAAATTGTGGTAGAGAATATAACCATGAATTTGAGATGGTTGGTGATATAAATAGATCTAACAAACAAAATGGAGACTGCACTCTTTTTCTGTCTGTCTTTTGGTCATGACCAGGGCAAACTAGTTTCTCTTTTTACCTAATCTTATCAGACCCAGATTGACTCTTCCTGCCCCTCCAGACAAAGCTCCCTGAACCAAAGAATAGAAGCCTCCTTATCAACTCACAGAGCAGCCCAAGGGCAGCCCTAACCAGAGAGTTGCAACATAGTGAGGAGACAGATGAGATACTCCAATCTTCCCCTCCATCAGCGGATGACCTCAGGATTCTGTTTCCTTTAATAATGGACTTGCTCACTTCTGTTCACCTAACAATAGAAATGACAACAGGTAGATGGACAAAGATCTCTGTGGCATCCTTAAAACGAATTCCTGCATTGTAGCCTTATTTCTTTAAAAAAAATGCTTTGTTTGGGGTTCCTCTTTTTCTTCACTGTGCTCTGGACTTCTGAATTTCCCACAATTACTTGCAGTATTGTTTTAGGGAACCCTTGGACAAGAACAGGATGGGAAGATCTGTCTCTGCCTTTTCTCAAAGCAAAGATAAATTACAAACAGTACCTCAAAGATGTCTGCTGAAGATACATGAGGTAGTAAGGAACAACACGGGAGATGCATTCCTTTCACTTTGCATATGGAAAAGAGGGTTTATACTCAGCAAGCTGGGCCAGCAGCTCTTCGTATTTACTGTACATTTCCTTTCAAAACAGTCATCATGTGCTAGCCTGTAATTATGGAGTCCTTTACAGATCTGGATTATATGTCTTTCATTTTTAATTACAGATAGTCCACGACTTACAACAGTTCACTTAGTGACCGTTTGAAGTTACAATGGCTCTGAAAAAAGTGGCTTATGACCATTTTTCACACTTATGACTATTCTAGCATTCCCCCCCCCCCTCCGTATCATGTCTCCCTTAGCAACAGAAATTTTGGATTCACTTAACACATGTGGCAAGAAAAATCATACAGTGGAGCAAAACTCAAGTTAACAAATGTCACTCAGCAACATAAATCTGGGGCTCAGTTGCGGTTGTAAGTTGAGGGTTACCTGTATTTGAATGTTATAGTTCAGATGCAAAACACTCAAGGGAAGATAGAAGGGATTTAGAACCACTCCCTTTCTTCAAAGCAGACCTTCTGCACATGCTGAAATGCTAGTCTAGACTTCTGAAGGATGGGGAAAAAAGCAGTTTCAAAGATCTTATGCTCCACGCCAAAATCTCATCCAAAAGATGGTTTCAAACCTTCTATCACTTGCATAATAATCTCCTGTTATGAGAAGCCCAAAGTCCATTAAGGAAAAGCAAGTGCCTCTAAAAGCAAGCCACATTTCCAAGAAATTCATTGATGGCAGATTGCCAATTTGCCTATATTTTTCAATCATGGCTGTGAACTGCAGCCAGCATGGATAGAATAGCACTATAGAAACAAGTCTGCACATTGTCTACATTAGAGCTAAGCAGCAGCTTATTGTTCACTGATAAAGAACAAATGCTGGAGGAGATGGATATTTGATGTGATAAAGCTTCTGAATGAGGTCTGTGGATATAAATCACTTACATAATGCTCCAGAATCAGAGTCACCCTGATTTTTTTCTTTTAAAATTATCATTTTAATATTTTTTTTTTTAAAAAAAACACTCTGCAAGGAAAAGTATAATCATACAGCCCCAAAGCTCCTACTGATATAGTAGAGATTATCCTGGAAAAGTAATTCCTATGAATTTTATTTTATTTAATGTACAGCATCTACAGAGGCCATGCAATCACTGGTATACAAATATAAGTTTAATTCATATAAATATATGTATGCATTTAACTAGCTTTGCCCATCAAGTTAAGTTATTTGGAGAAGATGCAAATCTCCCACAGTAGCTATCCTGGGCAGAGTATATGTTGTCAAAATTCAAAAAAATATCTCCTCTCAAATAGGCTGCGCAACACTAGCACACAAGCCAGTTATTTAAAACCTGCTCCTTACAAACTAACTGCAACTGGTTTATACAAGAATGTTATTGAAAAATGGGACTCAAATTAAAATCTTTACAAAGCTGACCTAAGAGAAGCAAAACTACAATCATATACATGCTTATCAAGATGCATGTCTTTCATCTGAAAAGCTTTTCTCCCTTCTAACTTCTACAAAATAATATGCAGCCCACTCATCCTACAATGAAATCTCTGGGTATTCTTTTCTTAGAGGAAGAATTGGCTATCATTGTGACTGATCCACCTGAATTCCCATTTTATTTTTACAGCCAAGCTAATGCCCCAGGACAGGTATTGGATAGAATGCAGACATTTCACTGCCAGCATTAATATGGCCACACACAGAGAGAAAGCCTATTGGAAAAATTCTGAACTCATATGAATTTAATTCATCAGATTTAAAAAATAATTCTGAAGCAAGCACTAATTCTCTTAAAAGGTATTAATCTCCAGTGGCACCGTAGCATTTTAAAGTTTTATAAACATTTTTACATTGAGATATACTGTACTGTGTGAACCATTGCAACAACAGGTTACTCAAAACATTTGAACATGTTTCATTGGCTCAAGTCATGAAAAATGCTGTTCATTAAAAAAAAGAATGCCCATAGCCCCCCACCCCGTTCAGGTCACTTTCCATAACCCAGTTAAGTTAGTAATGTGGGTGTTGAGAAAGCAGTAGACCACTCCGTGGTCCACTAAGAATCCCTTGCCATGTTGAATCCGCATTTGCAAATTCAAATTTTGGAGAGGCCAAGACTTACTTATAGTTCTATCGTTACGGGAGTAACGTGTACGTGTACGCTACAAACCGCGATAGCCTTCTCAAAACAAGCGGAAGCGAAGCAGCTCTTTTCTTGGTATACGTGAGTGGCCCTTAAAAGAGCCTTTGGATTGCTTTATTGGCAAGAGGAAACTTAAGCTCTCTCGCCTCGGATGCGGCGCGCCAGCTGAATATCTTTCGGCATAATCGTCACCCGCTTGGCGTGGATGGCGCACAGGTTGGTATCTTCGAAGAGGCCAACGAGGTAAGCCTCGCTGGCTTCCTGCAGGGCCATAACGGCGGAGCTCTGGAAACGGAGATCGGTCTTGAAATCTTGGGCGATCTCTCTGACCAGGCGCTGGAAGGGGAGCTTACGGATGAGCAGTTCGGTCGATTTCTGGTAACGACGGATTTCTCTTAAGGCGACAGTGCCGGGGCGATAACGATGAGGCTTTTTCACCCCACCAGTGGCTGGAGCGCTTTTCCGGGCAGCCTTGGTAGCCAACTGCTTGCGAGGAGCTTTTCCTCCGGTAGACTTTCGAGCGGTCTGTTTAGTGCGGGCCATTGTTCGCCTATAGAGGAGCCAATCCCACCGAAGTAGAAAGCAGAAAATAAGAGTAGCCTCTAGAAGGCTGAGTATTTATAGCCGAGTCCTCCTCTCTTGATTGGCTGAGCGCGTTCGAATTTCCCGGGCTCGGAAGGGATTGGCTACAATGTTTCACTGTTTCTTCTCTTGCCTCCTTTGTACTCGAATGGATACGTCAGCAAACAGGACATTCAAATTCTTTCTGCTCTGTGTAATAGTGTTCTCACAAATAATATCTTGCAGATAAAGGGTTCCTTTCTGCGCTGCAGAAATCCAAACCATCGATAGATGGCAACAAGGATTTTTTTTTAATGCCTCTCTTTAGGTTAGTTATCCATGTTTTTGCAACCCAGATTTAAAAAAAAACTCCAAGGTATTTTTTGTGTATTCATTTACTTAGCGAGGACGAATATAATTTGCAAAAGTGTTGTTCTAATTTTGAATTGGTGAAAATGTTTAGCAGTTGTGGAAATAGCGTGTGGCACAAACGAGACCCGGAAATTAATTCCTCGTCAGCCACAGAAATTTATGAATGATCGGGGTCAGCCCGCTCTACCTACTTCGCAGGGTTGTTGTAGAGAAAAATGAGAAGGGAGAAGACTATAACCTCTCCACTTTTTGTGCATTGAGTTCCTACATAAAAAGATATTTAATAAACGCATATGTCACCAATAAGACCAATGTGTTTTCCTATATTGCCTAAAAGAATGGGAGAGCATCTTAACTTCTATAGCAATTGTTTATTCCAAGTTTATTCCATTTTATATTTTTTTCGTTTCATTTTTCACATAATTTAAGCACTTGTTATGTGGAATAAATAGTTTATTAATTGATTAGTCACGACCTGGTTATATAGTTTTTCGTTATGCTCCGCTGGCATATAATTTACACTACTTTGGCTGATCTCTAAACATCTGTCAAGATCGGCTGCTACGGGCAGAAAAAGCCAGAAAGAGCAACTACTTCCACATTGTTCCCAATATCTGCATGGACGCACCCATGAAAGCTTCACGCAGGTCGATCGGGTTCTCCTAGAAGCGGGGCGTTCCGTGTTGCTCTTTCTCAAGCATAAAATTGTACTATTACGAAGCAATGAGATCACTTTTCTAGGTCCGAAAGATTTTATATACACACAAACACACATATACCTTTCTGGTCATCTCAACAGCGGTTTATTTTTAAAAATGGATTTAATACTGAAAAAAGGGGTTCTACGGTTAAGTGTCCCTTGGTGAGTTACGGACCAGAATTTTAGATTAAGAGGTTCCCCGAAGGAATACGTCTGAATAATTCCGCCGGACACGGCGATTGGTTAAGATTACCTCCATATCCGAACCCTTTTATACTTGCTAAGCGGTAGAGGGTTTGGAATGTGACAGCCGAAGCCTTCTGCAGAACAGGTGGTTTTTCTAGATCTAGATCAATATTTGCCAAATATGTAGTAAGCCCTGGGCCAGGGAAGTGCCAGCTCCGAGGATATGCTTTGGATCTGAAAAGGAAACACTTATTCGATACTCTAGACTCCGCTCCTTACTTGAAATTGTAGGTGGCTCTGAAAAGAGCCTTTGGGTTTGAAATTCAATGTTCTTTCTTCACAGCAGCTTCTATTTTCCTTTCGCTTTATGGCTTTCCGTCTTCTTGGGCAAGAGGACCGCCTGGATATTGGGCAACACGCCCCCTTGAGCGATCGTCACTTTGCCCAGGAGTTTGTTGAGCTCTTCGTCGTTGCGAATGGCCAGCTGCAGATGGCGGGGGATAATACGGGTCTTCTTGTTGTCCCGAGCAGCGTTGCCGGCCAACTCCAGGATTTCCGCCGTGAGATATTCCAGCACCGCCGCCAAGTAGACGGGAGCGCCGGCGCCCACCCGCTCGGCGTAGTTACCTTTCCGCAGGAGGCGGTGAACACGACCGACCGGGAACTGGAGTCCGGCTCGGGAAGAACGAGACTTGGCCTTGGCTCTGGCCTTGCCTCCCTGCTTGCCGCGACCAGACATGACGTCGTTCCTGAGTCAAGTACAACACACCAAACACCCAACACAAACCGGCAGTGGTTAGAAATGAGCGAACTGGGGGCTTTTTATGCCTTTCCAAGGTCTGAAATTGCAATGTTTGATTGGCTGTTCAGGCGTCAGGCTTTCTTAGCCAATACGAAGGCAGGTTTGTCAACATAACCAATCGAACGACGTGAAACTGACTCCTTCCAATAGGAACCATAGTATCGCAGTCCTCTTAATTTGCATCTGCGCGCGCAGCGAAAGGGAGTAGAGGTTATAGCAGCCAATAAGAACATGGGAGTGCAGCTACCCTTATTTGCATAGGAGGCCTTTAAATAGTGGGAAACCGAACGTTGAACTTGTTTCAGTTCTGTTTGACGTACGTGGAGTGTCTAGTTTTCCGGACGGGAAGGAAGTTGGCTTACTTGCTGTTTCCGTTACCAGTGGAGTGTCTAGTTTTCCGGACGGGAAGGAAGTTGGCTTACTTGCTGTTTCCGTTACCATTCGTTAGAAAGTATCTTATTTGCAATGCCTGAGCCGGCGAAATCCGCCCCCGCGCCTAAGAAGGGCTCGAAGAAGGCGGTGACGAAGACCCAGAAGAAGGGCGACAAGAAGCGGCGCAAGAGCAGGAAGGAGAGCTACTCCATCTACGTTTACAAGGTGCTGAAGCAGGTGCACCCCGACACCGGCATCTCCTCCAAGGCCATGAGCATCATGAACTCCTTCGTGAACGACATCTTCGAGCGCATCGCGGGGGAGGCGTCCCGCCTGGCCCACTACAACAAGCGCTCGACCATCACCTCGCGGGAGATCCAGACGGCCGTGCGCCTCCTGCTGCCGGGGGAGCTGGCCAAGCACGCCGTGTCGGAAGGCACCAAGGCCGTCACCAAATACACCAGCTCCAAGTGAGGCGGCTACGCTGCGCAGTAAGGCGACCGAAAAACCCAAAGGCTCTTTTTAGAGCCGCCCACTTCCTCATGAAAAGAGTTTTAAGTCGCTACTTTTGTTGTAGCCCTGCTGACCTAAGCCTTGAAGCTTGGGTCCTGTCCCCTCAGACGTTGCTTTTCATTAATAAAATGCAAAGATTGGCCTTTGTTTAAAAATATATATGGAAATATGTGGTATAGGGAAGAAATTTACATACTACAGTATAGGTCGAACTGTATAGCACAGAAGTGTTTTATCTCTAGTAACATACTATCATTTTAAAAAGTAGATTATCTTGTGCTGAATTTAAATGCAAATAAAAGTGCAAAAGGGCTCCCCGGTTGATAGTATGGCTTCCAGATCTGATCTTGCAGGTGTGGAGTTTTTGTTAAGATTTTTTAAAATTCTGGCCTGTAGCAATTTTATAAATAAGGCAGGGAACACTCTTAATACAAGTAGTCCTTGATTTACAATTTAATGATTGTGGCACTGAAACAAATGACTTACGACAATTTGTCACACCACCATAGCAGCATCCCCATGGTCATGTGATCAAAAGTCAAACACTTGGCAACTGGCTCATATTGTGATGGTTGCAGTGTCCTGGGGTCTTGGTCACCTTTTGTGACTTAGGAAGCCAGATTCATTTAGCAGTCATGTTACTAACTTAACAATTGCAGTGATTCAGTTAACAATCGTGGCAAGAAAGGTTGTAAAATGGGCAAAACTCCCTTAACAAGTCTCCCTTAGCAACAGAAATTTTGGAATTAATGGTAGTTGTAAATCAAGGACCACCTGTCCTCCTTTTCTCCCATTTTCTCCAACATTCCTGTGAGGTGGGTTGGGCTGAAATTGAATGACTTGATACAATGTCACCAGATTAGATTACACTCTTAAGGCAAAAGGAAAGATTCCTGGTTTCTAGCCTGACGCCTTAACTTCTAGACCAGACTGGATTTTCTACTCCTATGTAAGCTGTACTGAGTTGGTGACCTAAATTCATTAAATATAAAAAGTAAGAAGGGGAGAAACACCTTCCTCTGTATTTCAGTTATTAATTTTTTTTTTAATTCTCAGGAGCTCACTATGGTTTGATTATGAGCTATCGTCAGTGTTTTCTCTCATCCATGCAGGTGAGAGATCCTGTCTCTTCCAATCTTCCAGCAGTGAGCCCCCATCATGGCTGTAATTGAGTTGATCCACTTGCTGCTGGTTATCTTCTCCAGCATTATGGACTTCTCTAGAACCTTAGGTTTTTGCATAATATGTCCAAAATGGGATAGTTTGAGCCTGAGCATGTCCATCTCAACTGAGAATTCTGGATTGATTTGTTTTCTCGTCTGTCCATGGCATTCTGAGGAATCTTCTCTAAGTTCAAAATCATCAATAACCTTTCTATCCTGCTTACAGTATCATGTGGAAAACCACTGCAGGCATGGTTCTGATCTTCTAACTGTAGATGCATTGTGGCAACTGAATATTTTTTCCAAGGCCTTCATTGTTACCTATCAAATGCTGGCCTGAAGCATATTTCTTGATAACTGGTTCCATTGTTGTTGACAGACAATCCTAAAAGGCAGGAGCTATCCATTACTCCAGTGTTTCCATTGTCTATTCTAAGGCTGATGGCTAATCTGTTATTAGTTTAGTCTTTTAATTCAATCATAGTCCAAACATGTTGCAAGAATCTAAATGAGCAGTGATGGGGTCATGAGCTTATGATCAATTCAGGAGAAAAAAAGAGTACTTTATTAATTTGATTTATATGCCTCCCCCTATCTCACCCTAGCAAGTTTGGACAGCTAACACCATATGAAATATAAAACAGAGAATAATATAAAAAAATCTATAATAGCAACTCAATCATCAATAAATTATTGTCTCACAGGCTCCAACCAACTTTGTGACATTCCTGTCTAAATCAACATCCAGAGCTTTCAAGTTTTCCAAAAATGCAATGGTACATTGAGGCATGTTTCTTTTCCATTCATCCCACTGCATATAATTAATTCAAATATATTTTTGTCTAACAGGCTAGCTGGGAAGTAAAATGCAAAAAAGAAAATGTTGATGGGACAACTGCTATAGAAATCATGGAATCTCTGTTTTGCCATAGTATTAATCTTCATATATACAAATACCTCTAATACCATTTTCTTGAGCACATGTTCTCCTCAGGGCTATGTCCTAAGTCCGCTGCTGTTCACCCTGTTGACCCATGACTGTTGTACTAGGTTTGCCACCAACCATATTGTGAAGTTTGCAAATGATACAACAGTAGTGGGCCTTACTCATGATAACAATGAGGGTGCTTACCACAAGGAGGTTGAGGGGTTGGTGAACTGGTATAAGGAGAACAGCCTAGTTTTAAATACCAGAGAAACCAAATAGAACATTGTCGATTTCAGAAAAGGAGGCACAGCCACACTTCTCTGTGCATTAATGATTCACCTGTGGAAATGGTTATCAGCATCAAATTCCTGGCTGTGCAGTTTAACAAGTAGGCTGGCTTGGTCATTCAGTGAGACACTGGTGAAGTGGGCACAGCAGTGCCTGCATTTTCTGTGTCACATGAGAAAGGCACATCTTCCTTCTCCTATCCGTACCACTTTTTACAGGGGGACAATCAAGAGCATCCTGTCATACAGCATCACAGTCTGGTTTGAAAGCATCACTGCTTCAGACAGGAAGGTGGTGCAGAGAGTGGTGAGGATGGCCAAAAAAACCATTGGCAGTTCCCTGCCTCCCATCCAGGACATAGCACAGAAGCGTTGCTTGAGCAGGGTCCATAAGATTATCTGGGACACTACACATCCTCTTCACAACATGTTTTCCTTGCTACCTTCTGGGAGGAGGCTTCATGGTTTCCAAAGCAGAACATCCAGAACTCTCAAGCTTCCTCCTTCCGTTATATATTCAAGATGGACAGTGTTTAATATTTATTTGTTATGTATATGTAGGGGTATGGGTCTATACATATGTTGTATATAGGATGTTTAGGTGTGTGTCATGTATGTGTTCACTTTGAGAGCAGGCAACTAAATTTCATTTTTGTTGTGTGTTGTTATGCCCACAGTAAAAAAATGACAATAAAGATTATCTTATCTTATATAAAATGTAATAAGTTTCAAGCATTCAGATCTGCACTTTATAATAGGCTGGGATGAAGCCATGTCCTGAGATGAGGATATAAATACAGTATTAATAAAGTTATAGGTAACATTTGGTGGCATTCTTTATAGTAGGTGAATCAAACCAATGATTTGATCTAATGTACGTGAAGGAGATGTTGGTCCAGGCTTCTTGTAGTATAAACCATCTTCCTAAAATGTACTTCCTGTGTTTGAACATCTATAGTGCTAGTATTCAGATTATTAATCTGCTCCATTTGCTTTCTTCTCTTGGAACCTGCCAGACTCCTTGATAGAAAGTAAACAACCTAAAAAATTATTTCAACGCAAGAATAATAAGGTTAACATCATTTTTACCAGCAGGGCATTTTTGCCGTGTGTTGTTAACACATGGTATACTTAAACACAGTTCACACTGAACCTGGCCTTAATAGGACTGTGCTGAATATGAATTTCTGCATTTAGACACTCTGGATTAAGCTAGTTCTTATTATGGCAACTAGAATGGCATTAGGATTTTTTTTTTTTAAAAAAAAATAAATGTTTCTGTGTTATGTGTCTGCATGGTTCTTCCTTGATTCAGTTTAAAAAAATGGATTGGCTTTAAGATGTATCAAGTGAATTTTAATCCAAAATTTAATCTTGGCTCTTCAGTCCAAAACTATTATTTTTACCTCTCCCCAGAGAGTGATGACTGCATTTAGGAAAACTGTCATGCTCCAACTGGAAAGAAAACCAGACTCAATAATGAATACAGTACTTGGATTAAAAAGTACAAGTTTAGCATCACCAACCCATTCTAAAGCATATTAGGTCTTAAATTTGAAAAAAATCAAAATAAAAAGGTTCTAGCTATGTCTAGATATCTCCTAGAAAGTTTATTTTATGTTGGCAGCATTTCCATTTCAGACAGGAAATCAATGGGTCTGGGTGATACATTTAGTCCAGCTGATCATTTAGTCCATCATAATCTAGAGGTTAAGATTTTCAACAAAGAGTTGAAAATGGCAGAAACTAGGCATTTTTGTCTGTCCAGGTTACATTGGAGAGTCGCTGCTACTATAAGCCTAACATGCATAGAGAGAAAAAAGGGAAAACATAAAACTAGCTAATAATATTCCACAGTAGTCTAGCTATGGTTAAGATGGTTTCTGTGACTCAGAATCTATAATTCTGAGCAATATGCAAAATAATTTTTGAATTAAATGTAACACAAACTTCAGTCAATACACTCCCATTCTCTTTATTATTGTAGTTACAGAAACAACCTCATTTCCTTTTTTTTTAAAAAAAAGCTGGGGTCCGGTTTTTTGTTTTGTTTTTTTGCCGACTTGTAATTATTTTCTTGTTACAAAGTGATAGAAACTCGTAGGAACAGCAACGGGAAGAGGATTCCGATAAATTTTTGTATCAATTTTCACACAGTTAAGTTTGTGGCAATTCTGGACTTGAACGGTCCTCTTATGCAGAAACAGTTTCATCCCATCAAAGCAGGTTTTTTTTCCCCCAGAAGGCGGAAGACTATAATTATTCAACTCAACACTTGGGCAATAAGCAATGTCCTTATTCATAAAACCAGAAACAAAAGAAAGACGCCAACATTTCAGTTTCAAACGGTAGTTTGTCATTGGTGTTTTCGAATTATTTTTCTTTCTCATTGGACAAACCCTGAGGGGCAGAAGCCTATGGGGGGGGGGGAGAGAGGCTTAGCGGCGTAAAGTAACCGCCCTTCAATGGAAGGTTTCTTTCTGGTCGGGTACTAGAGAATATAATTTCGCTGTTGCCCGATTTAGAGCACATTTTCTCGTCGTTTTCTGAGCTGAAGGCTTGTTGAAGGTTGAAGAATGTCTGGCCGTGGAAAAGGCGGAAAGGGTTTGGGAAAAGGAGGCGCAAAGCGCCACCGCAAAGTCTTGAGAGATAATATTCAAGGCATCACTAAACCCGCTATCCGCCGTTTGGCTCGTCGTGGTGGGGTGAAGCGTATCTCTGGCTTGATCTACGAGGAGACTCGAGGGGTGCTAAAAGTCTTCCTTGAAAATGTCATCCGCGATGCCGTGACTTACACCGAGCATGCCAAGAGAAAGACTGTGACTGCCATGGATGTGGTGTATGCCTTGAAACGCCAAGGACGCACTCTGTACGGATTTGGTGGTTAAATATTTCAACGAGCATTTCAAAATAAATCAAAAGGCCCTTTTAAGGGCCACCCACTTTTTCATAAAAAAGCTGAGTTTCCGCGAGTAGCGTTGCTATGGTTTGTAACCGAACTTGAACGTTCCCTAATTACGAAGTGACTGCTAGGAACGAATGCTTTTTAGGGTTGTGGCTGAAATAAACTATGTTCAGCGAAGCGGGGAGCTAAACACGGGCAGTAAAGACAAAATTTAAAAAAATGCTTAGAGCATACCTGAAGAATCAGCTTAAAATGATTTTTAATTTTTTCATCGCACTAAATTACGGTTTTCGTTGGTAACTTCAAAATTCGATGCAATCGTTAACCAGACCAACTTAGGTTTATTAGGGGGAATGAAATTTTGGTCCGTTTTTTTTTTAAAAAAAGGTTCCTATGAGGTATAATCGGATAATAACGTGTATCCTACCAAACAATGGACCTTTCTCTACTGCCGACAGCTATGCAGGCGTATTTCCCAGCAGTCGCGTCCTTTGTTTGCTCAATTGTGATGCAATATCAGAGGTAGCCAATAGGAACCTAAGGGCTGTCGATGAGTAATTTAGTCGCTTAGATACGGAGTTTGGTGGCTTTTATAGTTCCCAAGAAGTAGCAAAGGCAGCGGGATCTTTCTAAAATGCTTGCTTTAATACCAGATAAAAGAAAGTGATGACACGTGTCCTTGGATTCCAGATCAGATTTACTCCTTGTGAGAAGACAGCAATCATGGCAAACACTTTCTCCCAGGTTTTGTACTGCCTTAATATTTTCTCTCACCTTTCTTCAAAACCGTTTACTTGGCTGTTGAGCCATTAAAGTTCTTTTTTAAACAAAAACAAACAACAACCTTGCTTGGGGAACATGTGTTAATGCGTTCTGAGTTGTAGATGATTGGGGTCTTCATGTTTTGGGATCATTTCGCTGCTGAGGAAAAGGTAGAAGGTAACAGATTCCTTACTAACCCTGGTTAGGATAAACAGATGTCTTGTGTGGGCAGAGCCTGAATATGATGTGAGATCTTGTGCTTTCCATCTCTTCTAGTATAATTCTTCACCTAGGTGGAGTTATACGTGTTGATGATCAGGAAGCAAGAGAATATAGAAAAACTGTTAATGATCAAGAAGCAACAGAATATAGAAAAACTAAGTGGTTTAACATTGGGAAAAGAATGTACCAAGGCTGCATACTATATAGTGTGTACAATATGTGTCCCCCCCCCTTCATATCTATATAGATTGTATCAATGAGAAATTCTGGAGTAGAAGAAATAAGAATTGGAAACACAGCTGCTGAGGGAAGTTTCAAGAGCTGAAGATATGTAATATACCACTATGGCTGGAAGCAAGGAAAAGAAATCTCTTCTTGAAGATGAAAGAAAATAATACAAAAAAACAAACTGCTGCTTAATATTATTATATCAACAGACAATGCCAAGCCAAAGCAAATAGATGGAGAAGTTGTTATGGTAAAATTACAGATATGTTCCAATCTTTCTAATCCTTAATGTCTAGATTCTGGAGATTCTCAGTCATCCAGGTCATAGTTGTCCCAAAGGTGCCTTTTCAAGAGGCAACTGAACTTTCTTGTTTTTTTTTTTTTTAAAGATGTTTCACTTCTCATCCAAGAAGCTTCTTCGGCTCTGACTGGATGGTGGGGAATGGAAGGATTTATATTCCTTGCAGACAGCTGATCATTTGGATTCTTTTAGAGAGTTGTTGAGCCACCTGGAGGTTTATCTGTGTCCTCAAGGTCACCTGAGTGGTGTGGAGCCTTCTTGGAACTGCTGAAAGGACTGTGTTGTAGACTGAAGATAGATACTGTTGTATCTCTCCCCCTCTGTTGAGAGAGGGCTATTCAATTTTGAAATAGATGGCCTCTTTGACACCACTTTCAGACCAGTGGTTCTCTCTGTCCAAAATGTGGATTTTGCTTGTCTTCAAAAGAGTGGCCTTTGTGTTTTAAATGCTGCATTTAAAAGACCTTGAGGACACAGATAAACCTCCAGGTGGCCTCAACAACTCCCTAAAAGAATGCAAATTATCAGCTGTCTGCAAAGAGTATAAATCCTTCCATTCCCCACCATCCAGTCAGAGCTGAAGAAGCTTCTTGGATGAGAAGTGAAACATCTTCAAAGAAAAACAACAAAGTCCAGTTGCCTCTTGAAAAAGCACCTTTGGGATAATCATTACTTATGAGATTAAATCATCTATGCATATATAAGAATAACATTGTCCCTGTAGAGAAAACAGGTCAGGGTTCTGGAATTATTTCCTAGTGCTTAATAATAATATTGCTGTGGGTCACGTGGTCAGAAGCAATGCTTACAATGGGGCAATTAGCAACCTTCTGGGCCACTGCCCAGCTACTTCCCCCATAGAGGCAAATAGGAATGATTTTTGAAGCTCTCAGTTTGATGTGGCCCATTTTCAAATCTCATCTTTTGTTGGCTTCCCCCACTCCTTTCAAATTTGTCCCATTCAACTTGTGGAGAGTTAGCTTGCTGTCCGACATAGATGAACAGACTCCTGGGACTCTTTACCAAATTTATTTCCAATGTTCTGTTGCATTTGGAAAAAACAGACCTTAGCTTAGAGGTGGTGACTGGATGCTATCCTCTCATCATCCTTGATTTCACTGTGGATTTCAGCTTCAACTAGCAGAGACTGTACAGTACTTTGTTGCTGTGCTGCCTGGATTCCTGAGGCAGTATAGCAACAAAGAGGGAGAGGAGGAAGGACCCTAGAGCTTCATCTGGGATTACCCAATGGAGGTGACAAGAAAAAGGAGAAAAAAAAGAAGCTCTCCCCCCCCCTCCCCCAGGTAGTGTACTGTATAAAGCACTGAAAAAAGTAAGGGGGTTAAAGAAAATGTAGTGCTGTAGCTGCTAAAAGCATTTCCTTGGTGCCTTGGACTGGAGTATTCAAATGTAGGAGCTGCCACCTAGTGGCCCAGGAGAAGAAGATTTTAAACGAGAGCAAATTCTGCTCTCCTTGATTCTATACCAGTGGTTCTCAACCTTTTTAATGCCGCGACCCCCAACTGGTCATAAGTCGAGGATTACTCAACTGGTGCAGCACCATTTGCAGAATGGGACTTTTGGCGGGCTCAGCAGGGTAGAGACAGCCTGGACAATTCCTATTGGCTTTTGAAAGCCAATAGAATTAGACTCTATTCAAGAGAGTCTATTCTATTGGCTTTCAAAAGCCAATAGAATAAAAGGGAGTAGCACAGCTAAGGAAAAGGGGAAAAAATGGCGGACTGCATTGTTTGGCGACCCCCATGAAATGGTCGCTCGACGCCAAATGGGGTCCCGACCCACAGGTTGAGAACCACTGCTATAGAAGTATGTCTGCAAGTCTGAGCATTCGCAGTGAATGGAGCTCTGCTTTTCTGGAGACAATCCAAAGAAACATGAAGCTAGAGCCCTGTAATGATAATGCAGTTATTAGCCCCATCTTGGAAGACACCTTACCAACAGAGGTATATTTGTGCACTCAAAAGACCAAAATTCTAGTTGGTTTATATTTTGATTAGGGCCAATCAACATGACGCAAACCTGTGTGTAGGTTTTCAAGCATTCCAGATCCCTTCTCTAAGTACGTCAGAGCATAAAGCAGGGACAGTTTCTTCCTACTTGCTTCTCCATTTCAAAAGACTTCTAGGGAACTCAAAACAGCACCATCGGCACCTCTTGGTGGACCCATTAAAGGTAATTCAAATGGCCATCTCCCTATTCCACAAATAGGTTTATCAGACACGTTTGTCATCCTTACCTCTCTACTTTGTTTCTATATCAAAGCTCAGAATGATGGACAGTTGCTCATATTAAAATTGGCAACAACATCACTTGTGGAATGGTGTCAGGTCTACTCATAATAGGTATCCCCCCCCCCAAATCACACAGGTCTGGGAAAAGAGCAGTATGATTTTCCTTATATCCATAAAGGTCACCAGGGAGGAAAGGAATCAAGTGAGCAGGCAATGGAGTGAAAATCTTTGACATTATCAACTTTTGTATCAGCTAGATTCTAATCCAGAGATGGGCAAATGGCAGCTTCCTTGCAAACTCTTCCAAAGGTTAAAACAACAACAAAAAAAGGTTGAGCTAAAGAATTTTAGTCTTATGTCATCCATTGATTTTTGCCAACTAGCTATTTTACCTGTTGGAAAGTTGAATTGGGGAGGGGGAAACCTAATCTGAAAAAGAAATATTGCCCATCCCAGTGACCAGTTTTAATCATTAAAAGTAGGTATGCCAAAACTGGTAAAGGGACCACGGAGTGAATGCTGGTCCAGGATTTTCAGTCAAGACATTTCATAGCTTTTATTTTCCTGTTAATAAGTTGCATTTAATGGAGATAATATGATTTACCATTGCAAGAGGAATTGTGAGCTTCTGCTCTTCCCAGTGTGTGTTTCCATGAGGAGGACATTTGGACCATCTGATATTGCTGTGGAATCAGCCTGCTGGTTCTGAAGAACTTGCTTGATCTGCCACCTCCCATCACTCTGACACCACACTACACAATCACCAGGACTTACTATCCTTAAAACAAGAATGGGTTTGTCCCTAGTAAAATCTCTTATGTGCATAACTGAATCTGGTTAGTTGTTGTAGTTGAGCCAGACATTTGAAGAATGAGCATACACTGTCAGGGCCATTGTCCACTTGGTCTCAGGTAGGTGTAATCTGCCGTCGAAAACACCGACATGTAATGCATTTGAGGAAGCTTGTGCTGATGTAAAAAAGCCTGGTGAAGCGAAAAAGTAGGTTGTAATAGGCACTGACGGACAGTTCCCCAGAGGTGTCGGCATACTTTAGGGCCACCAATGGTGTGTACAGAGGGTTTGTTTGGGTCCGGAATGGCGGGCGTTCTTTTGCAATGACATTGACCACAGCCTGTTGAAAGGCAAAGGTGAAAAGAGATAGGTGGGTTGATACATTTTAAAAAGTATTCATTTAAATCATTTCTCCTCCACTTTATCATTAAAACCATCCCCCGGTGGAGCCGCTTCCCTTTCATAAACATTCTTTCTTCTGCTTCCTCCTTGCTGTTAGAACCATGGTTCCTGAAATGTGAGATTGACTTAAAATTTGTATTTTCTCTTCTGGAAGCAGAAAGCCATAGCTCAAAGGTGTACAGCATATTGTGATATATCTAGGATAGTCCCTTGAATTTCTAATTGAAAAGGTCTTAGGTTAATAGGACTAGGAAAGATATCCTTTGGCTGAGCCCTTGGAGAGCTTGAGCCAATCAAAACGGACATGAAAGTGGGGTGAGACATAAGAGTCTGGGCAGGTCATTCAGGAAGACCAGGTGAAAAGTTGATTAGAGGCAGCTTGCTGTTTGCTCACCTACCTGCAACTATTCATGGAATACTAGATGCATAACAGGGTAGGCAGATGAGAATGAGAAGGGAGGAATTGTTGCCAATGCCAATCATGGGAAGAGGATGAATTCTGCTTTGTATGATGGCAACAGAACTCGATAAGCAAGATTTGTCTATCTCAGTGGTTCTCAACCTGTGGGTCGGGACCCCATTTGGGGTCAAACGACCATTTCACGGGGGTCGCCAAACAACGCAGTCCGCCATTTTTCCCCCCTTTCCTTAGCTGTACTACTCCCTTTTATTCTATTGGCTTTTGAAAGCCAATAGAATAGACTCTCTTGAATAGAGTCTAATTCTATTGGCTTTCAAAAGCCATAGGAATTGTCCAGGCTGTCTCTGCCTGCTGAGCCCGCCAAAAGTCCCATTCTGCAAACGGTGCTGCACCAGTTGAGTAGTCCTCGACTTACGACCGGTTGATTAGTCCTCGACTTACGACCGGTTGGGGGTCGCAGCATTAAAAAGGTTGAGAACCACTGATCTATCTAAAACAGGGATCTCCACACTTGGCAACTTAAAGATTGGTGGATTTCAATTCTCAGAATTCTCCAGCCAGGCTGAGGAATTCTGGAAGTTGAAGCCCAGAAGTCTTAAAGTTGCCAAGTTTGGAGACCCCTGATCTAGAAGAACTTTCCTTCTGTAGGCCCCTCCCATCACCTGTGAGATTGCTCCTACCTTAGCCACAGACTCGGGGGACTGGCCCATGGTGGTGAATATTTCATGCGAGGCTGGTAGGTAGATCTCCTTGAAGTAGTGCACAGTGGTGGCGTCAACTCCTGGAAACTGAGACTTGCCCACTTCCTCCATCAACTTCATCTCAAATTCAGTGTTTATAGGGCCAGGCTCTACCAGAGAGATGCTGCACAGGGAAAAAAATCACCCCCAAAAGCAGTCAGCAATTGGACTCAGAGACCATCACATCAGAATTGGCCAATATATTATTTTCACAGATGGATCAGCCTTTTCCCCTGTTCTCTAACCCTCACCCCTAGAAACCCCTCCCACGAAAGGCCCATTTTCTTTGTGGACTTCCAAAGCTTTTAACTTGTATAAAAATTATACATCTAGATTCTAGAACATTTATCCCATTCTTCCTCTTGAGTTATCCTTCTAGGTAACCTCTCCAGTAAGACTTTTCACTGCTATTATCTTTTTCACAGGACACACTTGGATCATTCTGTCTCATTTCATTGAAAAGTGAGTCCATTGCCAGGGTTGCAAATTGGACCATGACCCACTGAAAACCTCTGGACATCTTTTATGAACAGACACACAGAGGATCCAGTGAGTCTTTGAATTATTATTAATTTATCAAAAGCACATAATGGACTTCGAAGACGTGAATCGGCATGGAATTTCTGGTGAATATCTATGAAACAGCATTTTTTGGACAAATGGGTAAGTCCTGTTTTGTTCTGAGACAGACCCCTCCCCTCCCCCATGAAAATTTTTTTTTCCCGTTCCTGAAAATATTTTCTTAACTCTTATGTTCTTTTAGAAGGACTTTTCTCAGAAAGGAGAGATGGAAGGAGATGTCTCCAGATAATGCTCTGTTATCCTGAGTATGCATTACCAGGATTTGGTTTAAATTCATCGTATGTTCAAGATCCTCATCTTATTTGTCTCTTGAGAAACCTATATACGGGTCAAGAAGCAACAGTGAGAACTGAACACGGAACCACTGGTTGGTTCAAAATTGGAAAAGGAGTCCGGCAAGGCTGTATACTGTCGCCCTGCCTATTTAACTTATATGCAGAGCACATCATGAGAAAGGCAGGGCTAGATGAAACAAGAGTTGGAATTAAGATTGCCGGGAGAAATATCAACAACCTAAGATATGCAGATGATACCACTCTAATGGCAGAAAGTGAAGAGGAACTAAAGAGCCTCTTGATGCGAGTCCCTTGGACTGCAAGGCGTTCAAACCGGTCAGTCCTAGAAGAGATCAACCCCGACTGCTCTTTAGAAGGCCAGATCCTGAAGTTGAAACTCAAATACTTTGGCCACCTAATGAGAAGGAAGAACTCACTGGAGAAGGGCCTAATGCTGGGAAAGATTGAGGGCAATAGAGGAAGGGGACGACAGAGAATGAGATGGCTGGATGGAGTCACTGAAGCAGTACGTGTGAACTTAAATGGACTCCAGAAGACGGTAGAGGACAGGAAGTCCTGGAGGAACGTTGTCCATGAGGTTGTGATGGGTCGGACACGACTTCGCAATTAACAACAACAACATGTTCAAGATCCAGGAGATTTGTCTTGGGAACCTAGAGGTACTGTCTCTCTGCTTTGTTAGAACTGCAGATTGGATGAAGGAATGACAGATGAGTCCCGGTCAATCTAACAACCCCTGATTCATCATAGCTTGAGGGGACAATGCTGGAAGACCAATCTGGCCCCAGGTTTGGAGAGCTGCTGATTTTTGGATGCCTAGGGGTTTGCCCACCCTTCCAGACTGCTGCTCAATTGCCTTATTCTTTCAGTCCCAACCTGCTTGCTTTTGAAATTAAGTCTTCAGGTGTGTCTGCTTTTGGCCCTCATACTTTGCCATTCCAGCCTAGTGGTTTGTTCTTGGCTTTCAATTTTGGCTTCTTAGGATGGAAACGAGCCTGTCGTCTGTCCCAGGCCAGAAATCATGTTAAAGCCTGAAAGGAGAATGCAATTTTCTCAGTGGTTCTGGCTGACTGGAGGAATCAAATGGGCTCAATTTAACAGCAATGCACCAGGCTACAGCTCATTTATACTGAACCAGAATTCTGAATAATTCCAGGTTGATGTGATATATCTGATGATGGCCAATATCTGGCATGAATTAAATTATTGTGGCTATAGTAATATACATTTGCATGATTGTACAATCATCCCCCAACTCACTGACTTCCAGATGTGCTGGGCAACAACTATTATCCCCAGCCAGCACAGCCATTGATTACTGGCTCAGTGTATAAGGTTTAACTCTCCCTTGCTTTGTTTTAGCTGATTTGTGCCAGAAATATATACACCTCCTTGGGAGGATTGTTTTTCTTTTTTTCTCTTTTACACATTGATAATGTTTTGAAATTCAAATTTAGAACATGGCATTATAATAATAGTAATTAAGACTAATGTTTTCTCAGCTTTATTTTTCTTGCCGGCTGCAACATGCTTAACCCCAAATGACTCCCTTAGATTCATAACAATGCTCGTGCCAACGTTTGTACTTTACTGCATCGTCTCCAATTCTCCCAGCTTTGGCTTTGGATGTGAAAAAGAAATATGGTGACTCTGAATTTAATTAAAACACAGATTTTTGTTTTTAAATTATTAACAAATGTTGGCTTGCAGCAGCAGTGCAAAATTTGTATTTCATACTAGAAACATCCAACAAGGTCTTGTTTCAAGGCACATTGTGTATGCTACCATGATTTACAGTGCAGATGTTCAATCCGCCAGATTTGGGGAGATGATAATTCATGAGTTTTATGATCCATGGAGCAATTTGCATACCTAATGTTTTACTTACAAGATGGTATGTAGGATGTACACATCATCTTATCTTGTGAAGGGGTTGGATATTGCTAGCTTTAGCCAGGTCAGTTTTCCCCATCTTTGCTTTCTTCAGACTACTAATCCTAGAATTCCTAGCTAATATGGCCAAAGCAAGGAATCCTGGGAAGTGCAACACATCCGGGGAGCAGGAACTATGGAATGCAGCCTAACATTACCATTTACCTTCATCATGGGTTTTCTAGAGCTGGCTTTCCAAAATGCTTGGCGTAACAGAATTGAGAGCTGATTTTGGGGAAGAAACGAGCAAGCTGTTGAAGGGCTCTTGCAGAAAACTACACAGTAATGAGGAAAGCGGGAAGCACAAGATGGAAAGACAAAATGATCTTGATTTTGTTTAGTATAAGATGGGGCAGAGAGAAACTTGAACAGGCCTTTAAAATTCTATCATGCTATTTTACTACGCTGGAAACCAGTTGAGTGTGGCGGTTAAAGACGCCAAGCAGGAAAACAAGCTGTCAAGCCCTCTCGGGCTCGACATATGAAAATGGGAGACCAGCACAGAACTGCAGATTACCGGTTTGAAAACACAAGCCGAACATCCTCTAATGGGCATTTCGCTGTTAACAGAATCTCGGATAGCTCAGCGGAGCTGAGATGCTATGGCTGTGTTGAAGAAATAACACGCATATGCAGAAGAATGGTAGACTGCCAATCAGGTGTTTGGTGGCTAACCGAATCCCAGCTGACGGAATGAAGACGTGAATTCCAAAATGTGTATGGGACCTTTAAGAGTATTACAAGAGAAACGCCAAATGGAGGGGATGAAATATTAATTATTATAGAATGCTGGTTGGACGATGATGGGGCGAAGTGCGGAAGGGTGGATGGGTGTGGGTTATTACACTGGGTGCGGTCGTGATTAAGTAATGGGTGGGGTTAGATTGGAAAGGGATTTAAATAACGCTGGGAGGCAGTAGCTCCCAGCACGAACTTTGTCCAGGCAAAGAGCCTTGTTACCGCAGGTCTTTGTTTTTGTTCCTTTTGATCCTGATTAAACTGCTGTTACCAGATACGAAGTGTCATCGTGTTCTCTGTATAACTTGGTTCAGGTAAGGATCGTAACACAAGCAACAAATTCAGTTCCTGCCTTAGGCACAAAGCCAGTTGGGTGACTACGGATCAGTCTCTCTCTCTCTCTCAGCCCTAGGTAGGAGGCAAGGACAAACTACAGGTAGTTCTTGACTTAAAACAGTTTGTTTAGTGACCATTCAAATTTACAACAGCACTGAAAAAGCGAATTATGTTTTTCACACTTACGACGGTTGCAGCATCCCCATGGTCACGTGATCAAACTTCAAACGCTTGGCAACTGAGTTATATTTATGATGGTTGCAGGGTCCTGGGGTCACATGATCCCCTTTTGTGACTTTCTGACAAGCAAAGTCAATGGGGAAGCAGGATTAACAACCGCATTACTAACCTAACAACCTGCAGTGATTCACTTTCAGTTCATAAAATGGGGCAAAACTCATTTAACAAATGTCTCACCTAGCAGCAGAAATTTCGAGCGTAAGGCTAGGATTACTTGTAGCTCTGAGAACGTTGTGAAGAAAACTGCGGATACTTGTGGCCAGGAGTAGGATTTAAAGGCACAAAACAAAGCACACCTTACTTAAAGTAAAGAACTTTCCTGGAATTCTTGCCATCCCCGTTTCTTGACCTGGCCTACCTTGAAGGGTTGACATCTGGATGCTATGCTATGTCTGCCATATGGAGGCTGTATTGCTACTTGGAACTGTCCATTGGGAAGAATGAGTATAGGGGTGTCCATGGGGGTGGGATTAAATATGTTAAGACGGCAATCACAAGTAGGCAATCAAATCCTTCTTTTGTATGTGCAGTGTGCTACATAGTCACAGCTCCCATCTTGACAAGATCTTCCCCCTTCCCTTAGGCAGGGGTAGGCAACCTTGGCTGTTTTATGACTCATGGACTTCAACTCCCAGAATTCCTGAGCCAGCCTCACAATGCATATCCCTGGTATAGGCTCAAAACTAGGGGAGTTCTAAAATGATCCAATTGTCTTTAGCCAGCGAAAAACAGGATTTTCCACAGCTGTGAAATTCTCCTTGGTTATGATATTTTGCTGAACGGCAAAGGCTTTTATTAAAAAAAATGTTTACAGTGCCTTGGTTGTTAGGTTATTAATCATGTTTTGTGCTGTTTAGAAGGTACTAATCAGCATCAGCGTGTTTTCTACTGCTATTTTATAGAGTGTACTTAAGGCTGTTTAATTTTCAATTACATTATTGGTTAAACTGTCTATTAGCTTTCTTAGCTATTTTTTAAAAAATATGTATCAGACTAGAAATATCAGACATGAAATGTCAGCAACAGAATTGGTACTGGGATATCAGTAAACTAATTTAAAAGTGTCATTTATTATTGCTAATATTACTAGTCAGGAACATTGATCGCTTTAATGTGTGATGGCCTGAAATAAGCAAATCTTCTTCTCCTTCGCTAATATTTGAAAGCATAAAAATAGAGATGTGGGTCCAATTGCTCTTATGAGTAGTTGCTAGTATATGTACCTATGTTTACGTAAAGCAACAAAACACCCATGTCATCCCTTGATGATTCTCCCACCACCCCCTCAAAATACTATTATTTTTTAAAAAGACCAACTTTCAGAAGCGCATCTCTTTTCAAAAGTTTCCCAACCTATCACGAGAGATCTCAAGAGTTTTTGTGGATTTTTCATTTTTCTTCCATTTGTGTTTTTGTGCTATTTCTGCTGAACCTGAAAATGTTGCTGAGCATGAATATAAGAGCTCAGATGCACGTGAGGCTAAATAACATTGTAATGTTTGCTTTATGGTAATGTAAAGTGCCTGGAGATGGGTTCTGATGAAGCCTCTAACATTAAATTGCCCTCTTCTCCCAATCTGCTGTCTGCATGTTGCACAAGATTCTTCCCCTTGGTACTTAGAGTAGAAAATAAAACCAAAGAGGACCCCTTCCTTGGATTCAGAGCCCAAGGCCCCCTCAATTTTGTTTATATATGAGGAACTTGAGCTCAGTTCAGAAGTTGCTGAGTACCTGCCATCACTGCACCTGAGAGCACCAAGTGAGTCCAGGGCAGGGTAGGCAACCTTGGCTCTTTTATGACTCATGGACTTCAACTCCCAGAATTCCTGAGCCAGCATGGCTCAGCTTGGAAACTTTCCCTTTCCCCTCAGCATGGCTGGCTCAGGAATTCTGGGAGTTGAAGTCCACGAATCATAAAAGAGCTAAGGTTGCCTACTCCTGCTCTAGGGAGACAGAAGCTGGGGGGGAGGTCCTGCAACTCTGCCTCTGCCCTCCAGGATCTTGCTGACATCCCCCTTTCCCTGTTGCCACTTTCTATTTTCAATTGCCACCTCTCCCCGCCTAGTGAATGCATTGGCTCCGTTTCACTCACAAGATATTGAATTTGAGGAGCTGCACAGCAAGGCTTTCGCAGAAGCCCTCAATAGCAAACTTGGAGGCTGCATAGACATCATTGAAAGGGACACCTGGGAAGGAAGCAGAAGGGGTGTAAGTTTTCATACTTAGTTCCATTTAATCTTATATTTTTCACACTTAGCCCAAACGTCCGTCATTGCTTTAGGTAGGTTGAATTGAGAACTGAGAAAATGCCATGGGCATGCTCAGAAAATGATGGGATTAGCTGGTTATTAAGTATCTTTTTATCAATGGCAAATGGAAGGTAGGGCCCTTCTAATTTCCAGATAACTTCAATTTACCTCTTTATTTTACGAGAAAAAGGGCACACATTTAGACAAAGGACTAATTTTCAGCCATCATCTCTTTTTATTTTTTATTTTTCAGAGAGTGTCTCTGAGATCAATACAGAATCCAGGGGTGGTCCTCGGAAACCAAACAAAGTTAGTGCTTTCCTTTGTAGCATGTTAGGTTTCCACTGAATTGTTTAAAAATTAGTCCAGTTTCCTCCAGAAGTGACGGACGTCCGTTTCCATTCAATGTGGTTAGTCTGTATGGATGGAAATTCGAAGGCTGAAGTCCAATAGGCCAAAACAGAGGAAGGCTGATGCTGTTAGCAAGAATTTGACACTCAAATATAAATGGGAGGACTCATTAAATGGTTGGGTACTGAGATCCTGAAATGGGAGGTATACATTATAGCCTATATAAAGTATTTTGTAATGAGAGACAGAAGGAGACTTATAGTCAAATAAAGCCAGAATTGTGCATTATCTTGACTTATGCAGAGCCTCATTTGCCAATGTAAGATGAGCTGCAAATGTGAAAAATTGAGTTGTTCAGAATATTTTTAATGAGTGTATTCCATCATTGATGTTGAAAGTTGTAATGGGATGTGAGGAACATGATCTTACAAAAGGCGATGAGATCTTTATATCCATAACAACCTTTATACCCATAACAGCTAAGGAGCTAGGCAGGACAAGGCTTTAGAGAGGCATTGATCTGGAATAAGGGCTCTGCTTCATCTCTACCCCACCACCCACCCGTCAGAAGTATCATTCATACCTTGCAATCCCATGACACTGCTGATTACCACAATGTGTCCTTTCTGACGCTGCTTCATTGCAGGGAGCACAGCCTTGATCATGCGGATGGCACCAAAGAAGTTGGTCTCAAAGATGTGTTTCATGGCATCGATGCTGATCATTTCCAGGGGCCCAATGAGCCCCACACCAGCATTGTTCACTGAGAAACATTAATTCCACAGTTTAAAACATTATCCTCTACTAATCCTCCTAACTCTGTAGTTTCTTGCACTCCTGCAGCAATGTCCTCTATGGAGACCACCATTTTGTTTCTGCTTTGGGTTTTGTTGCTCTTTACCTGGATCCCTTTTCTTCTTCTTCTTCTTTCAAATGCTGTAGCAACAGCTCTCATTTCTTTTATAAGAGGAATGGACCGGCTATTTCTAGGAAAAGGATGGTTTTCCTCCATAGGATTGCCGTGGGACATTTTGTAATCAAAGCTCACATGTGTTGCCACAAAGAACCAGACTCTCTCAAGTGGAAGCAAAGTGACTACTATGTGGAAGCAACTCTGTGGTTGGGCCTAGCCAATGCAATAGAAGGCTAGTTATCACAAGCATGGCCAAAGCATTGGCTGAGAATTGAAATAACCCTTTGAGATATGTAGGTCAAGAAGCTACATTGTAAGGATTCCATAAATGCTTCTTTATTGCTGTAGGGCATATTAACATTAAGTCTTGAAAATTCTCTCTGCTCCATTTTATACTAACATAATCAAAATGGGGTTATTTTGACTACCTTTCTGACATGTCATTTTATCAGTGGACTATGTAATCTCTTTTCTAAGTCCCTCTAATGCAGGGGGTCAAACTGCCGGCCCATGGGCCGGTTGCATCATGCAGAGGCCACACCCACCCCAGCTCCAGCAATGTGAAAAAAGTTGTGATACGTCGTGACACATCATGTGATGCGGCGAGTTTGACACCCGTGCTCTAATGGCTTGCTCCTTCCTTCCTTCCTTCCTTCCTTCCTTCCTTCCTTCCTTCCTTCCTTCCTTCCTTCCTCCCTCCCTCCCTCCCTCCCTCCCTCCCTCCCTCCCTCCCTCCCTGGCTTTCTCATACCTTCCCCAAGGTAAATTCTGAATGTTTTTACAAATTACACATCTAGAAAAATGGATACATAAATTTTCACTTCACGGGGTGAATCTTCATATCTCAGTGCCTGGATTTGGAATCTCTCAACTGAAGTCCCCCCTACCTCTTTTATTTTTCCTCTAGACACATTTTTATCTCATTTGAAAGAAGTATGCCTGCTTTTAAATTATGTTCCTTCTAAAATAATGAAAAATGTCAACCATGCAACACTGAATAAAAACTAATTAAAAAAACAAAATGAGAATTGCCTAGACATTCCCCCAAAGAAAAGAGGAAATCTATTCCAGTTAATTTAGTAGGTAATTGAATGAGAGGTTTTTTTTTTTTTTTAAATGGATATATTTCCTGACTTTCCTCCAGGAATATAAGAAGGAGCATACCAATTCTTTTTCCCTCTCCCAATTCATGACTGACTGTGTCTCTCCAGTCTGCAATCTAACTATGTACCATACTGCCTCTATTACTTGGGAGAAGGCTGTTTCTAGATAATCAAGTATTTTAGGCCTTCCCAGTCCAATATCTTGTAGATGCTTTGGAATACAATTTGCTTTAGCCATGTTGGAGGTTAGGACTTGTGGTCCACATGTCTGAAAGGCATCCAGTTATAGAAAATTATTCAGTTCCTCTGAACTTGATATTAATTCTTGGATTTTATTCTTTCCACCCCAATAAAATATTATAGTATGTAAAGCAGCCACCCACACCCACACCCACCCACCCACCCACACACACACATTTGGGCACATCATCTGCCCATGATTGTTTTTTATATGTAGTCCTCAGCTAATGTCCATTTTCAAAGTTACAACAGCACCAAAAAAAATGACTTATAATCAGTCTTCACACTTATGACCATCACCACAGCCACGCAATCACAATTTGAGCACTTGGCAAATGGTCTGTATTTATGACTGTCGTTTGTGACTTCACCGGTGGCTTCCAAAGAGCCAAGTTAAAAAGGGAATTCAGATTCCCTTAATGACCATCACACAAAAGTTATAAAATCAGGTTTGGAGACATGAAGACTCATTTAATGCCATATTACTTAGCAACAAAAACTTTGGTCCCAATTGTGATCGTACGTTGAGGACTCCCTGTATTGTAACAGTGTGTTTTTAGACTCACATTTGCGAGATGGACAATACACATGCACACAAACACACACAACTATATTAAAGAGAAAGAAATGCAGGTTGCTTCAATGGGCCCTTGTTGTAAAGGGTTTTGAAAAAATTCCAGAACCAAGGAGAAGCAGAGATGGTTAAATTGGCTCTTTTATCCAAAGAAGAGAATATATTTAATTTTGTTTCTGTTTGGGAATTGATTCTGTGCTTGCAGCAGGGAAAAAAATGAAACTTTGATTTTTGCTGATTAGATAGGTTTGTTGCTATAGAGATGGCTAGTATATACTGTTGTGTAAAAGTAAAAAGCTGAGGTTGTTATCTTCTATTGTGCTAAAGAGTGTTGGAAGTTGGGGCTTTTTTCTTTCCTTTTCCTTCTTTACTCCACATTTTCTCTTTTTTTTCTTTTTCCCTCTCCCCAGTTTTCTATTGCTTTTTAAAATTTATCTTTGTATTTTATACTTTGATAAACTAATATAAATACATATAAATGTATTTTATATATATAAAAAAGAAAGAATTCCAGAACCCATGCCCTTTTCCTTACTTTGTTTTTTTAGGGCATTCTGTAAACTATTTTACATGCAGTAATTTGGTTGTAGGGATGAGAATACTCTGGGTCATATTTATGTGCAATCTATGTTGATTGGTGATACAAAAAATGTGGCTTTAATTCTGACGCCCAAAGGCATTGTTCCTAAAGTCAATTGGAAATATGCAATGCTGTTATGTTAGTCTACTCATTGAATCTCAAGAGTTCACTCCCAGTGTGGAAGTCAGTTGGAATTTGGCAATTTGTTTGCATGCATGCACGCAATACAATCTGTTTTGTGTATTTGGAAAGTTAATATTGTCTTGGCCATAAACCATCACAATCTCGAAAAGCAGGTGGAGGAAAAAAAAAGATGTTTCGAAATATCTGTTTTAAAATTATTACAGGATTCTGGACTCTCTACTGTATATCATATGGAGAATATTATATGTAAAAGACTTGGAATAAACTGTCAGAAATATTAACAGCCAATGTTATCTAACACCACTTCCATCTCACCTTGGAGCCAAGAGGCTCAAGTCACCCTGGGAATAGGCCAAGGACGGAAGGGGAAATAAGAATTAGGGATCAGGCTTAGCCTTAGACTCGCAGTGTTTCTCAACCTTGAAAATTTTAAGGCATATGGACTTCAACTCCCAGAATTCCACAGCCAGCAATGCTGGCTGAGGAATTCTGGGAGTTGAACTCCACATGCCTTAAAATTGTCAAGGTTGAGAAACACTGCGAGAGGAAGGGGGAATTATGAAATTTCCAGTCCAGCACTCCCTTCACTCAAGCCCAATAAGGAAAGCTCCAGGACTGAGTTTGAGCTAGGATTATCAAGGACAGAAATGCACCAAGGACCCCTCACACAGAAATGCAAAACCCATCAAATAAACCTTCCGGGATGCTGTTTGATTGGAAGGAATTTGGGGCAGAACCCATCCCAGCTTTCCTTCCTCCTGAAAACTGGCACAATGCAGTGCAATACTCAAAGCAATCTTTCTTAGCTTGAGCAACGTTAAGACGTGCGGACTTCAACTCCCAGAATGCATGCTGGGTGGGGAATTCTGGGAGTCGTATTCCACAAGTCCTAAAGTTGCTGAGGTTGAGAAACCCTGCAACCTTTCTCAATCTGGCGACCGACAGATTGTATTTTTGATCATCAGTACAGCTGTGACGTATTGTTATCCCTTCGCATTCATAGCATATGAGTGCTATAGTGCAGCCACTCTGAAATTATGGAACTTGCATGCATCAGCATAATTTAAATATCAAGTACACTTTCAAAACGCCATCTTAAATCCTTTCACTAATATAACAAAGAAAGGAAGGAAAAATAGTCAAAACCAAATAATAAAAAAAATAAACACCTAAATTATAAAACAAAAATCCTTTAAACTGCTCTGTCTGTTTAAAATTTACTCACCAAAGTACTATAAACACGGAGATAGAAGCGGCAGTTTCTTTTGCTTCCTAGGAAGCAAAAACAGCTGGGAGGCGGAGATCAGCAGGAGCTCCGAGGGAACACTCCTTTCACCCCCTCTAGAAATAAATCCAGAGGGGGTTCAGGGGTTCTACCTCTATTCCTGCGTTCTCTGTCCCTTCCCTTTGCCCGGGAAGGGAATTTCGAGCCGCGGGCCAGCTGATGCACGCTGTGCTCCGCGGCTCTGACACTTCGCCAGCTGGACGGCTAGAAGATAGCCGCCATCGCCGTCGCCTCGTACCGGAAGCTCTTAGATATACAAAGGGATAAGAAAGGTTCCTCTCCCTTTCTTAAACAAGCAAGGTTACCTAAAGCTTTTTTTGATATGAAGGAAGACTGGGAATTAAGGGATTACTGGCGGGAATGTAACCAAGAGGAGAGAGACTTCACTTTTTTTTCTGATAGACACCAATCTTTTTCAAGAATCGACTTTTTTTTGATTACTACGGATTTGTATAATAAAGTAAAGAATGTAAAGATTTTTCCTAGATCACTGACGGATCATAGCCCAGTCTGGATGGAGCTGATTCAAGAGAAAGAGGAAAGGAGATCCTGGAGAGTTAATGAAAATTTGTTCAGACAAGAGAAGAATGTTCAAAAGTTAAAGGAGTGTTTAAAGGATTATTTTGTTTTGAATATGTATAAGGGGACCTCAATGTCAATGGTATGGGATGCAGGTAAAGCATTTATGCGTGGTGTTTTGATAAAAATGAATAATTGTCATAAGAGGAACCAGATTCAGAAACGTAGAGAACTTGAAGATGAAATTAAATCAAAAGAAAGGTCCTTGATTTTAAATCCTTCTGATGAAAGTATTAAAGAATCTGTAAAGTTATTAAGGTCACAATTTAACATGTTGATAGCAGATCAAGCTGCAACTAACTTATTGTTTATGAAACAAAATACATTTTGTAATGCTAACAAGCCTGGGAGATGGTTGGCTTATCAATTAAGAAAGAAACAGAGACAGAGAATAATAGAGAAAATAAATTACAAGGGTAAACTAGTTTTTCAGAAGGAATTGATCAAAAAATCTTTTTTGGACTACTATCAAAAGTTATACAAATCTACTAACGTGCAACTTCTAGATATAAATAAATATTTAGCTGAGGCAAGTTTCCCCAAATTAACTGAGGATCAGAAACATGAAATTAATGGCTTAATTACTAAGGAGGAAATTGCCTCAGCAATTCAACAATTGAAACTAGGGAAAGCACCGGGTACGGATGGGTTAACAGCTGTTTATTATAAAGCTTTAAAGGAGGAGATGATCCAACCATTAAGTGATCTTTTTAATGGTATCTTACAGGGTTTAGAGATTCCTCCTTCATGGCGTAGTGCTTTTATATCATTGATTCCAAAGGAGGATCAAGATCCTACTTTACCAAAAAATTACAGGCCTATATCTCTTTTAAATGTGGATTATAAGATATTTGCAAAAATTTTGGTAAATAGGGTCGTGCATCATCTTGTGCATAAAGATCAATCAGGGTTTATAACTGGAAGGTACATGAAAAATAATGTTAGACAAATTATTAATTTATTAGAATATTTAGACAAGAACAACCAAGTTCCTGCAGGGCTCATATTTTTAGATGCTGAAAAAGCATTTGATCAATTGAATTGGCATTTTATGTTAAGAGTAATGGAAAAAATGAATTTTGGCGAAAAGATATTACAAGCCCTTACGGTAATATATCAAAAACAAACGGCACAGCTTATTGTTAATGGAGGTTTGTCGGAGGTTTTTACAATAGAGAAAGGTACTAGACAGGGGTGCCCTTTATCGCCATTGTTGTTTGTTTTAACATTGGAAATATTATTGATTAAAATTCGAGAGTCTCAGGAAATTAAAGGAATAGAAGTTAATAAAAAAGAATATAAGTTGAGAGCTTTTGCGGATGACTTGGTTGTTACTTTGTCGCAACCTGATTATTCTGTAGTAAACTTATTACAGTTGATTCATCATTATGGTTTGGTTTCGGGTTTCAAGATTAATGTAAATAAGACTAAAATTTTACCTAAAAATATGTCTAGTCAGGAGAAGCAGATTTTGGCCAACTTGACGGGTTTTGAGATTGTTAATAAGGTAAAATATTTGGGGGTGATCCTGTCTGTTTCTAATGTAAAATTATTTAAAAATAACTATGAAAGGTTGTGGGTCAGGGTACAGAAGGACTTGAAGAATTGGGAGAAGTTGCAATTATCTCTCATGGGAAGAATTGCAGTGATAAAAATGAATATTCTACCCAAGTTTCTTTTTCTGTTTCAAATGTTACCGATTTTGAAAAATGAGATTAACTTAAGTGAGTGGCAGAAGGGTCTTAATAAATTTATTTGGGCAGGGAAAAAGCCAAGGGTTAAGTTTAAAATTATGCAAGACTTCCGTGAGAGGGGTGGACTCAAGGTACCAAATTTGAAATTATATTACGATGCGGTGGTTTTAACACTAATTAGTGATTGGGTAAATTTGACAAATCCGGAGATACTTCATTTAGAGGGATGGGATTTACTTTTTGGGTGGCATGCCTATTTAATATTTAATAAAAAAATGGATTGGGTTTTTAAATCTCATATTTTAAGAATCTCTTTACTTAGGACTTGGAGAAAATATTATAAAAGTGATTTTAAAGTTCCATTATGGGCTATACCTTGGCATGCGATAGAAGGAATAAAAAGAGGTGTAAGAATGGATATGGTGTCTTATAGTCAGCTACTTAGATGGGATGGGCAAAACTGGCAGTTAAGACTACGGGAAGACTTAGCGCAAGAAAATATTATTTATTCTTGGTTCCAATATAGGCAACTAGTAGATAAATGGAAGGTGGATTGTAAATTGGGTTTTCTTAGAGAAGATGAAAATATTATTAAGCAAGTTAAGGATCAAAGACAAACCCATATTAAGAGAATCTATGGGGTATTAGTTGAAATGGATTCAGAATCGGAATTAATTAAAGACTGTATGATTAGATGGGCGCAGAATTTTGGTGTCCCAGTCTCATTGGATATCTGGGAAACCATCTGGGTGAGAAATGTCAAATTTACACAAGCACAGAACTTAAGGGAGAATTTTTATAAAATGTTTTATAGATGGCACCTTGATCCACAAAAAATGTCTCTTATGTACCCTGACATACAACCCAAATGTTGGAGATGTGGCTATATGGATGCTTCTTATTATCATATTTGGTGGTCATGTAGAGAGATTAAAGCATTTTGGATTAAGATATGGTGGAATATCCAGAGGATTTTTAAAAGGAGGGTAAAATTTACTCCGCAATTATTCTTGTTGGGTATAGTTACAGATTGTGATACAAAGGAAGTTGTATTGATGTTAAATTTGATTACAGCCGCGAGGCTGTTAGTTGGACAATACTGGAAGAAGGAGTCTTTGCCTACATTGCAGGAATGGTTTCTTAAAGTAGCTTATTTGGCGGAAATGGCAAAGATTTCGGCTTTCTTAAAGCAACAAACGCAAGAGAAGTTTCTTGTCGTTTGGGATAAATGGATAAAATTTATACAATTTAGATTGGGTACAAAAAAATATTATATAGCTTTTTCATAATTTTTATCTTTATATATAGAGAGATATATATACTTATATATATATTTTAATGTTACTTATAGATATTATATAAATTTTTTAACTTAATTTTTTATTTGTTAATTTTCAATTAAGCCTATATTCTGCTCTGGGAAGCTCAGGGGGGGGGGGAAGGGAGGGTTTATGGTGAGGGGTGGGGGATGGGGTTTTTTTTATATGTAATGTTTAGTTTTTTTTTTTTTTGTATATGTTGTTTTCGTTTTGTATTGTTTTTGTCTTTTTGTAAAATTTATAAAACTTTCAATAAAAAAAAAAATATCAAGTACAATTCCCCTTAGCTTTGCATCATAAATGTGAGTAACCCACAGCCTATTTAAAAAACCTCTCCTCCAGAACACCTACCTAACACATCTAGCTGCTTCTCAGGAAGGCTGTTAATGCATTCAGCTACAGATTCATCACTACAGACATCAAGGCGCTGAATGGTGAGGGTCTGGTTGAGTGTGTCCCCCGCTGCTGCCTCCAGCTTGTCCTTTTTGCGCAGGTCACGCATTGTGGCAATGACTAGAAGGAAGAAAGAGCTTAAATGCAAGTTGCTCATTCTCTGGATGGGCGGGGAGAGGCTGAGAATTTAAAAAGCGGACAAGAAGAAACCTTTATATAAGGAATGTCAGAATTATTTATCTATTAACACATGTAAAATAATTTAAACAAAATAGTAACAATGATGCTGAATGTGATGAAGATGATGAAAAAATTAACCTAGTACCCTTGCATATATTAGCCATTGCTTGGAAACGTGCTTGGAATTCAGCATTAGTAATTTTCCTAAGTCTCCATAGTTATATAGACTTAACTAAAAAAAAGCTGAACGAGATTGTGTCGCTGTCATGATGATGATGATGATGATGATGAAGACAACAACAACAACAACAATAATAATAATGATAAAATTGGAAGGGACCTTGGAGGTCATCGAGTCCAACCCCCTGCTCAGGCAGGAAACCCTATACCATTTCAGACAAATGGCTGTCCAGTCTTTTCTTAAAAACTCCCAGTGTTGGAGCGTTCACAGCTTCTGGAGGCAGGTTGTTCCACTGGTTAATTGTTCTAACTGTCAGGAAGTTTCTCCTCAGTTCTAGGTTGCTTCTCTCCTTGATTAGTTTCCATCCGTTGCTTCTTGTCCTGCCCTCAGGCGCTTTGGAAAATAGCTTGACTCCCTCTTCTTTGTGGCAGCCCCTGAGATATTGGAACACTGCTGTCATGTCCCCCCTCATCCTTCTCTTCATTAAATTAGACATACCCAATTCTAGCAACCATTCCTTATATGTTTCTATCTTTCTCCTTGCCTACTTACCTGGATGCATGGTTCACATATTACACTGACTTGGTATTTAGAAGTGCAAAAGAGAGTTCCAGCACAATTATTATTACAAATACAGGAAGTCCTTGACTTACAGCAGTTCGCTTAGTGACCATTTGAAGTTACAGCGGCACCGAAAAAAAGTGACTTAGGACTGATTTTCACACTTACGGCCATCGCAGCCTCCCCACGGTTACGTGATCAAAATTCAGACGCTTGGCAACCGACTCATATTTACGACCATTGCAACCTTTTCCAATCTTCTGAGAAGCAAAATCAATGGGGAAGCCACTTAGCAACTGTGTTACTGACTTAACAGCTGGAGTGATTCACTTAACAGTTTAATGGCGAGAAAAGTCGTAAAATGAGGCAAGGCTCACTTAACCAATGTCTCACTTAGCAATGTAAATATTGGGCTCAATTGTAGTCGTAAGTCAAGGGCTATCTGTAATGATAATCCATCTGAGTATTGTAAGTACACTTCCTCAATGCTTTCTTGGGGAGATGGCAGCAAAGACTGGAAGCTACAAGGAGCCAAAGGGCTGGGATGCTGGTTATTCAGAGAGCTCTCCCTACCAGACAGTCTCTTGTTGTGTTGTGCAACAGACAGGATCAGCCAATCAAAGTCCAGAAGGGCTGCTCAAAGGAGGGAATATTGGCTCTTGGCCAGGGTTCAGCAGGTGAATTGAGGATTCATGTTTTGTAAGCTTCTTAAGGGTCAAGATGCCAAATCCCTCTGTGTCTAATCTCTTCTTTGAAGGTGAACTCTGTACATGTGGTGTATGCCAGTGTGTTGTAGGCAGAGAAGAGATCATTCGTTGCAAAGAGTATGAACAGTATAAGATCCATTCTTCCTCCCTCCCTTCTGTTTCTCTAGATTTTCTATATAAATTTACCTGCATGCCCTCGTTTGAGACAATAACTATAAGTATGGATTCATGTGTAAGAAGTTATAAAAAAAAACAACTTTCTGTACATGATATACTTGAACATATAGAGGGGGAGAGAGGGGGGATATCCATTATAATTAAGCCCCCAGTGTATCTGCTAACGTCCCCTTGGCTTTGAATTTTTTAAAATTATTTAATTGAAATAAAGCCGAATAACTGGAAAGTAGTAACTTTTTTCTTTACGGGAAGTTCTTGGGCCCATCCATATAGGCTGAAGAGGCATTTTGGAAAAAAACAGAAAGGATAGGTATCTGCAAGCAGATAGAAAGGGCATCTATCTTTCAAGAAAAATAAATAAAGAAGAGATAGGATACCATCCTTTGGCTAGAAGTGGCAACTGGGGCACCTTCCCTAGTTTGTATTTTCAATGTCTTTCTGGGATACTTCTCATGTTTTTCTGGGATCTGCTAGGCACAAATGAGCTAAAAAGGTGTATAGTCTAACCCAGGGATAGGCAACCTTGGCTCTTTTATAACTCGTGGACTTCAACCCCCAGAATTCCTGAGCCAGCATGGCTCATCTTGGAAACCTCTCCCTTTCCCCTCAGCATGGCTGGCTCAGGAATTCTGGGAGTTGAAGTCCACGAGTCATAAAAGAGCCAAGGCTGCCTACCCCTGGTCTAACGAAATATGTTATAGTCCCATTCCATGTTGATAATAAAAGGTGAGGCTGATTAGACTCAATGCCTAGAGCCAGTCAACAAGTTTCTCTGGAAGTGAGATTAATTGTATATGTCTTGATTCACATTCCTCTGAATTTCAAATAATAGTTATTACAGCTTTGTAGTTTACGCTTCACAACATACCAAATTCTGAAATGTAGATTCTGATTTATCATCATGCAACAGGACTCTATCATTCTAAGCCCCCCCCCTTTTTAAATTGAATTTAGTTTCTAGTTCTCATAGTTGAAGAAAAATGACTTTAAATATTGCAGTAGGTTTTCTTCTACTGTCTTTGCTCTGACATTACTCTTATTCATGCAGCCCACCCATAACTTGACTCTCTAATATCCCATTAAGCCCCCTTCCCCCTTTTTCTTCTCATTACAAAAGAACTAACATCTCCTCCCATATAATTTAATGGAACAGAAATGGATTATCTGCCAGGGGAATGTAAATGAGAGGGAAAAAAAAAAGAATAATGGGAAATTCTAAATTCCTGTGGCAATGGTATTTATGATTATGTGCGGGCTTCAAAAGATTGCTTGGCTTTAGAAAGCAAGCCCAGAAATGAATTTTATGTATATATAAATGTGTGAATGTGTGTATATCATGTGCTGACTCTACATAATACCAGTACTGTTAACATCCCTTGTGCATATAACAGGGGTAGAGGCTGTGGAAATTATTTGCTAAGCATCTTAGTAAAGGCTCATATAACAATTACAGAGGATTGGTAGTTTTGTCTAGTGGTTAAGGCAGTAGGCTAGAAACCAAGTGACTGTGAGTTCTAATCCCACTTTAGGCATGAAAGCTACCTGGAGAACTTTGGGCCAGTCACAGTCTCTTTCCCCCCAGCCCATCTCGCAGGGTTGTTGTTGTGGGGAAAATAGGAGGAGGAAGGAGTATGAGGTATGTACGCCACCTTGAGTTACAAAAATAAGGTGGAATAAAATAAATAAATAAATAAATAAATAAATAAATAAATAAATAAAACAATTCATCAGTAGCTATTTTCTTACCACAAAAAAGGCCTTCCATGAAATATTTGAGTCATTTGTCTATGTCACAGGTGTCAAAGTACTGACCCATGGGCCGGATGCGTCATGCAGAAGCCGCGCCCACCCCATTGCCGGCAATGGCAAAACTGTCCTGATACGTTGCACGACGTCACGTGACGTCGCGAGTTTGACATGTCTGGTCTATGTGGCATGTACTTCTATCCAATATGCCCTCTGTTGTTGGGCATTCAACATTTTTATCACTGCACACTTTTAGTGTACATAAAATACAAATGTAAGTTCCCTAAGGAATGCTTGCTGTCTTAAGTGTATAGCCTGTCATCCCCGATGCCCATTGGATTCAGTGTGTCCATGATCACCCAGTTACTTGTCAATAGCACTTTTTGCTAAAAGGCTACCTCCTATGGCAGACAGAGAAAGAAAGGCAGAACTGGAATGGAAGGTTGGAGGAGAGGGAATTGTTGGCATCCAGTGACATTCTTACCATTCCCGAGTCTTCTGGCATCTGAGCTTGGTTACACAAGTAGCCTTTGGAGATAATCTGCATCGCACCCAGCCAGTTTGTCGAGTAAAGGGCAGTTAATGTGATAGTATGGAAAAATATGGGGAAATGAAGAGGATGCAGCACATGAAGCCGAAGACCCAACAGCATACAAAGTAGTCAAAAAAGGCAAGGATGCAAAAAACGAAAGTAGATTGAATATAATATTGGAATTCAAGTGGCCTCCTGACTTTGGGTTGACTTTGGCAAAGTGGTCTTGAGCTGAGTTGACAAGGAAGAGCTGAAAGCTCACTGGATACAAAGGTGCCATGATGGGTATTGGAGAACAGACCAAATGTTACGCAGAATCCTGACAAAAAAGCTTAGTGAGTCAAGGGAACTGATGGGGCCAGGCTGCATACGTTTACTTCTCCAGTTAGCTATCATCCCCAGCTCTAGCTTTCCCTTTCTGAAAAATCTTTCATGCCTTTTATCCCACTTTTCCTTTAACCTACCCCATCTAGAAAGACCAGAATGTCCAGTCCTCTGAGTATTGTGTCTCAGTTATCCCACCTCCCCTTTCAGATACCCTGATCTCACCATGAAATCGCCTTTCTGGATCCCGTGCTAGTTGCACAGCCATGCACAGTCCGATGCCTGAGGAGCAGCCGGTAATCAGCACAGTGCGTGGAGCTGCCTTGGCCATGGCTGAGCTGCAGTGAAGTGTGCCCGAAAAGATCAGGCTGGAAAGTAACAGAAAAATCCATCATGTGATCCAGGGATCAGCTGAAGACTTGAGAGGGTGACAAGGTGGAGGCAGTGCCTAACTCCTATAGGCAGATGATTAACTTTCCAAACCTGTATCGGTCTTTCTCAAAGCTCCTCTGTTTCTTCATCCCTTTCAGCAGCTCCATCTTTGCTCAGAGCTGGAGGGCCATGAATGCAGTCTACTCTCATGAATAGAAACTCTTTAAAAATTAAAGAAAGAGAGAAAAAAGAGAGAATGAATTGTAAACTTTGCCACAGTGTGGACTGTTAATCATTATGTTTTAAACAAACAACTATCCTCAGATCGTAATCTATGTGGGGAAGACCTTGAGAGTCAAAATCAAGAGACTGGACCTAAGTCAAGGGTAGGCAACCTTGGCTCTTTTATGACTCATGCACTTCAACTCCCATGTTGGGTCAGGAATTCTGGGAGTTGAAGTCCACGAGTCATAAAAGAGCCAAGGTTGCCTACCTCTGACCTAGGGAATAGTCAGATAAGAGACTGCATAGGCCACATCTGGATAGTGGGAAGGGTATTCAGTTGTGAGCTAGCCACTCTTTTATCTGATCATACCCTAGATGGCCTTGTCTCCCAAAGTCTTTCCCACATATCGTTATATCAGTTGGAAATTGCTTTAGGTTAATATGATAGGCAAGACAACATTTCAACAACAATAACAACAAAAACAGAAAAAAATTCAAAGTTCCAGTAACCTGCCTAGAGTTCAATGGCCTCTAGAAGTCTCTCAACTACATAATTCTCTCCATGTGCCATCTGGGGATAATAATACTGATCTGCCTTATAGGGTAGCTTTTTGTGCTTCACTTGGGAAATCTTGCATACGTGGACATCACATACAGGGATTCTATAGTAGAGTTCTGAATGCAAGCCTAGAAGATGAGATGAAATTTAAACCACTTCAATTTTTGGGGAACTGCTTGAATCAAGTGCTACATTTTAACCATCCCTTAATTCACATCCATGTTTGGCACTGAGTTCATTAGACCTATATGTTAAATTGTGGGAGATGTTGGATCTGGCTCAGACTGCATCTCAGTCTTTGGAAATGTATGGTGGCATCACTATTCTCCCTCTTTAAAACAAGATGAATACTTGCAAGCGTATGATTGTAGAATTGAACTCAGAAGAGACAGACAATGCAGATAATTACTAAGTGACAGCAAGGAGTTAAGAGTTTTCTGTTACATTGCTCTGTTGGCATATACTGTATAGCAGTCATCTGGATGTTTGTACCTCAGAGTAAGTAGACATAACCCAGAAGAAAATAATTTCTTCTAAACATTAGTATTATCCAACAGATTCTAAAAGGAACAGGCCAAGCACATAAAACACTCAGGCAGCTGTGTTCATATTTGAAGTGTTTTGAAGTGGTTGCATTACTATTTTTAGTGGAAGAATGAAGGTCTATTTGAAGCAATGAAGAGTCAAGCGATTGAGATATTGCTGCAATTTGCAAAATATTAGGAATCTTGTCAGAAGTGGTTAATTTTTGAGGGGATCACAGGTTACTAATCAGCCTTGTGGGTGGTGGCTTTTTTTTTTTTTTTTTGAGGACTGCAGGCAACTGTTTAGTGACACTAGGACAGTCCCAGAAGGGCATGGCCAAAAATGTTTACACTATGTTGAGAGAAAAATCTTCATCAGGGTCCAGTCCAAGCTGGGAATAAACAAAATGGAGACTGCTTTAGAAAGAAGGTTGCAGTTTATTGAAGAGGAAAGCCAGACAGAAAGATGGCTCTGGGAAAAACTGACCACATGTAGTAGGGAGTGGTGGGTTTTTATACCTTCTTGGGCTTTTGTTTGGAGTTGTTCCTGTGGCATGAACTTTGACCTGAGCCTTTCTGGTATTCTGATGGTGGTGGGTTAATCCTATTATGTCCCAAAGGTCATATCCTGCTTCCCTGGGGCTGGGGCTGATGAGTGTTGGATTTTTTTGTGTGTACTGTGTGTGAGGGATTGTTGATTCTAGGGATCTTTATCTTTCTAATCCCAGCTTCCTGGCTCCAATCTTTCTGACAAGATGATCACATCTGCATTTCTGCAGACCTGATTTCTGTTTGGGGCAGAGAGATTTGGGGGAGGGGGGTTCTGCTTTTAAGATGGGGAAATATAATATTCTGCCTTTTAATATTCCCAAAAGTATTTCTTTCTCGGGGGGGGGGGCTGACTTCTCACAACTGCTTTGGGGTGTCTTTTAAGAGCAGAAACAAGAGGAACAGCCTGAGTTTGTACCACTGTAAGTTGATTATTTTACTGCCAGATTGGTATAGTGGCTAAAGCATCAGGCTAGAAGCCAGGAGACTGTGAGTTCTAGTCTCAACTTAGTTAAAAAGCCATCTGGGTGACCTTGGGCCATTCACATTCTTTCAGTCCAGGAAGCAGGCAATGTCTTAACCTGGGAAGGAGACAAGGGAAAAAAACTTCTGAAATCTTGTCAGGAAAACTGAAAGGACTAATTCACCCAATTGACAGGAGTCAAAGGCCAGCTTTACACTTTGGGGTGCCAGAAAGTCATATGCAGAGTAATGGGTTTCTATGCTCTGTTGTAACAAAAATCTGAACAGTTTGGGTGGGAGTCATCTCAGCAATTCTCTCAGTATTAAAACAGATCCCAGGGTTTGGGCAGAGGCTATTGCTTTCTTCTTTGAGTAGAACAGCTCCTTCCAGTTGCTTTTTGGTTTTCTCAGGCCAGTCTCCCAAACAGATGCCACCACCATCCCTTTGCCTTTCTTCCCACTCTGGTCTTATTGCTCCAAAGCACCTAGTTGTTCTGATGAGCTAAAACCAATTCCAGTGTATATTAACATTTGCTTCCTTTCTTGTTCCTTCCCGAACTATAGTCTCCCCAGGTCAGTGGTTTGTGATTCACTTTGCTCCCATGTTTATCTGACCTGACATTCCTAGCCATGTAAACCTGAACCCCTATATTCTATCTTCCTTACCCATCCGGGAAAATGCAGAGAGACTCTAACCCTGAAAGGAGCAAAGCTTAAACTGTCAGAAGCCATAAAGTTCAAGGCAAGGAGAGAAAGGCAGAGAGAAATATTCTGATCTTTCCTCACACAGAGCTGCTTCCTGCTTGGAAAGACCAAGCCTCTGACTTCCTTCTGGAGGTTTATGAAGGCCCGCTAGGGTAGACATGAAGAGAAACTTCAGTGCAAAAGCCAATTATAGCAGTGTGGTTCCAGACAAAAAATGAGAAAAAGGGACCCAGGGTTTTACTTCGCTTTTTTGGTGGCCTAGTTCCAAGTCCTTGTGCTTCAACTCATTTTTGACTGGTCCAGTGGGACTTTACTACAAATAAACTTTTGAACCCCTCTTCTTCTTTCTTTTTGTTTTTAGCCTGGTGCCTCCCTAAATATCACCTAATCCCCTTGAAGTGCATTTCTGTACTTGCATTGCTTTATTTTTCTATTTTTAATTCTCTTCTTTTTCTCTGCCAAATGCTCTCCTGTAGAAGAAAGAAACTTCTACAGAGTCATCAGGACCTCCCTCTCTTTTTTGGAGCCATATATTACTTTTACCATTATTGTTAACTCTTTTTTCCTTCTTTAGTTCTGCTCAAAGTTAAGATATCGCAAGCAAATCCAACTCCTCCATTAGCTAAAGGGAGCTGGATTTGAACTGATAGGTCTACCCAGGTCAAAAATCTGAGACCAAGTCCTATTGAAACCCACCATGCAATATTTAATTTAAAATTTGTTGTAGTCTGTATTGCTAATATTTTGTGCATTGTTTTGTTTGCATTTTACTCTTAATTCTACAGTTTCAATTGGATTGTTACTCGTATCTACTAAAGCCATCATTATATTTTAAGAACTCTGTAATATTTAAATATTGGATATTGAATAACTTTGGTTCTGGAGGTTTTATATTGGGTCAATAAAATTGGAAGAGTTTGTTATATGTGGGTAAATGGAATTAATTAACCAATATGCTTTATGAGATGATGTAAAATTTGAGCCTAATTCCTGAGCCACATTTATCCTTTCCCAAAATTGTACATTTTTTTTTCCTGGTGCAGATCCAGGGTATCTGAGAAACCATCTCACTCCAATAGTACTAGCCCGTCCCACTTGCTCTAGCAGAAGAGGTCTGTTATGGATCCTGTCTACTAAGACATTCCGGTGGGCAGGGTCACGGAGAAGAGCCTTTTTTGTGCTGTGGAACACTCTACCACTGGAGGTGAGAACTGCTCCTATGCTTCTGACTTTCTGGAAGGGCATTAAAACTTGGTTTTGTGGGTTGGCTTGCGGCTGCGAGAAAGGTGCTCACTGATGATTGTTTGGCTAAGAAGACATCATCTTCATGCCATTCATCTCTTGGTTCTACTTTTTTGCATAGTTTAAATTTTCTAATTGATTTTCCATTTATATATTTTTATGATCTGTAAGCCACCCAAACTCAATACATTAGGGAGATGGGTGGCATATAAATTTAATAGATAATAATAAATTTGAATAGATAGGCACCTCCACATAACACTCCAGATTTACCAACTGTTGATAAGAAAAATAAAAAAAGTCTGGATAATAGACGTGGCAGTACCTGGAGACAATAGAATAGAAGAGAAAGAATGGAGAAGATAACAAAATACAAATATCTGCAAATAGAAATAGAATGACTATGCAAAAGAAAACAAAAGTATTTCCAATAGTAATAGGCGCCTTCGGTACAATCCCAAAACAACCTGGCCTCTCCCTGTTTCTCTCTCACAGATTAGGAATTGGTTGGCCTCTAATAATTCTTGAAACCTTGGGTGTTTTAGAAGGCCTATTGTGAGGACACATCCCATTTAATTTTATGCTGTTTATAGAAGTTTATATATTTATGTTCCTACCATGAACTTTATTTAAATGCTTGTGTTGTCGCAGCTATTATAAATGGTCAAGAGTAATGAAATTGTGGAAGATATAAACAAACAAATAAAATCGAAGGCTGGCTATTTATGTCAATTTCATCTTTCTATTTTATTATCCCCACCTTCTCTCCAATTTTATTTATCAAATCCTGAAAGGTCAGCCAATCTCCAAA